TCATAATTGGTTACTTGGAGAATCTCTGGACTTAGAAGAGAGGAAAATTTCAAAAACAGTAGCCTAGGGAAACTGACACTAAGGGCAGATTTCTTTTTCTTTTTTTTTTAATATTTATTTTATATTGGAGTATAGTTGATTAACAATGTTGTATTAGCTTCAGATGTACAGCAAAGTGATTCCGTTATACATATACATGTATCTATTCTTTTTCAAATTCTTTTTCTATTTAGGTTATTACAGAGTACTGAGCTGAGACAGTAGGTCCTTGTTGGATATTTATTTTCAATACAGCAGTGTGCACCTGTCAATCCCAAACTCCCAGTCTATCCCTCCCCCTCACCTTTCCCCTCCCCCGCCCCAGATAACTATAGATAACTATAAGTTTGTTCTTTAAGTCTGTGAGTCTGTTTCTGTTTTGTAAATAAGTTCATTTGTATCTTTTTTTTAGATTCTGCATATAAGCAATATAATATGATATTTGTCTTTCTCTGTCTGATTTACTTCACTTAGTATGATAATCTCCAGGTCCATCCATGTTGCTGCAACTGGCATTATTTCATTCATTTTAATGGCTGAGTAGTATTCCGTTGTATATGTGTACCACATCTTCTTTATCCACTAATCTGTCAATGGATATTTAGGTTGCTTCCATGTCTTGGCTATTGTAAACAGTGCTGCAATGAACACTGGGGTGCATGTATCCTTTTGAACCATGTTTTTCTCCAGTATATGCCCAGGAGTGGGATTGCTGGATCATATGGTAGCTCTATTTTTAGTTTCTTAAGGAACCTCCATACTGTTCTCAGTAGTGGCTGTACCAATTACATTCCCACCAACAGTGTAGGAGGGTTCTAAGGGCAGATTTCTTCTTTTTTTTTTTTAACATCTTTATTGGAGTATAACTGCTTTACAATGGTGTGTTAGTTTCTGCTTTATAACAAAGTGAATCAGATATACATATACATATATTACCATATCTCCTCCGTCTTGCGTCTCCCTCCCACCCTCCCTATCCCACCCCTCTAGGTGGTCACAAAGCACTGAGCTGATCTCCCTGTGCTATGTGGCTGCTTCCCACTAGCTATCTATTTTACATTTGGTAGTGTATATATGTCCCTGCCACTCTCTCACTTCATCCCAGCTTACCCTTCCCCCTCCCCGTGTCCTCAAGTCCATTCTCTACGTCTGCATGTTTATTCCTGTCCTGCCCCTAGGTTCTTCAGAACCTTTTTTTTTTTTTAGATTTCATGTATATGTGTTAGCATATGGTATTTGTTTTTCTCTTTCTGACTTCACTCTGTATGACAGACTCTAGGTCCATCCACCTCACTACAAATAACTCAATTTTGTTTCTTTTTATGGCTGAGTAATATTCCATTGTATATATGTGTCACATCTTTATCCGTTCATCTGTAGATGGACACTTAGGTTGCTTCCATGTCCTGGCTGTTGTAAATAGAGCTGCAGTGAACATTGTGGTACATGACTCTTTGTGAATTATGGTTTTCTCAGGGTATATGCCCAGTAATGGAATTGGTGGGTCGTATGGTAGTTCTATTTTTAGTTTTTTAAGGAACCTCCATACTGTTCTCCATAGTGGCTGTATCAATTTACATTCCCACTAACAGTGCAAGAGGGTTTAAGGGCAGATTTCTTGAAAGAGATGAATTGCCTAAAATATTTTTAGTTTAGGAGGAACCTGCCTGTTTTACACTTACATATTTAAGACAAGCCAGAGATTTATTTGACCTAATAAGCATATTATGTTAAAAATTCAAAGCAAGGATTTGTGGGACTTAGTAACCAGTCACACCTTGGTGTGTATTTTTGCCGACTTCAGACTGTTTTCTTAGAAGGCCCAACTGAGATCAGCTGCTTTGAGGGGATAAATTCTTTGGGTATGCTTTTATCATTAATTTGTTTTTAAATTAAAAAAACAGTATATGATCACTGTAACACATTTAAATTTTAGTCACTTCCCAGCCCCTCTCCCTAGAAATGAGTACTATTAATAATTTGTTGTGTCTTCTAGGGCATATGTTTTCCTAGAAGTTTTGATTTAGTGGAATACAAGAACATTTTGGACCATGATGTAGTTTTTCTAGTGGCAGGGTAGGCTTGGATGGAGTCTTAGTGGTTTGTATATGGTTTCTGAGGGCTTTATTGGGGCTTGGGCAGATGGGTGACTTTACATAAGAGAGGCAAGACAAATTTTTAAAAATTGCTGAGGATTAACTGTGCATGCTCAAAAGGTAAAAGTAATATTACTTTCTTCTTCTTCCCCTTCCCTCTTGTGGTATTTGTGCTCTTCCTCCCAGAAGCTAGAGTTCAAATTAGTGTTGTTTATGCTGTGTTTAAGCTATGAGTACGTTAAGACTTTTGTGTTAATATCTGTGGTAGTAGTCATAATTCTTTCAAGTGTCAGAAGCCCAAGTCATATTGGTTTAAGCAAAGAAAGGAATTTATGGCTTATTTGACTGAAAAGTTTAGGGATCTGGGTACTCAGAAGAGTAAGAATTTCTCTCTTTTTCTCTTGGTTTTGTTGTCCTTTCTGTTGATTTAATACCCAAGTAGGCTCTTTACACGTGGGGCCTCCAGGATTGTGTCCTATCAACTTAGCTTCAGCATAAAGAGAACATGTTGATGAACAACAAGGACCTATTGTATAGCACAGGGAACTCTGCTCAGTATTCTGTAATAACCTAAATGGGAAAAGAATTTGAAAAAGAATAGATATATTTATATGTATAACTGAATTACTTTGCTGTACACCTGAAACTAACACAACATTGTTAATCAACTATACTCCAATATAAAATAAAAATTAAAAAAAAGAAAAACATATCTTACCAAGAATTTCAACAGAAATTTTAGCATTGACTTTGGCCTGGATTAATGGGCCTGGATCAAATAAGTGTTTCTGGACTGTTATATGTGACCAACCCACCACAATTACGTAGACGTGACAATAGAGGAGCTGCAGTTTAGGTTATGCTAGGCTGTACTAGAATAATAACTCCCAAATCTCAGGGACTTTACGCAGCAAAAGCTTATTTCTTGCTCATGCAAAGTCAGCCACAAGGCTAGGTGATAACTCTAGTAGTCCATGTGGTAACTCAAGAATCCATACTGTTTTCACCTTGATCTTAACATGAAGCCTCCACAGTTGCTTCATCAGGGAATGAATAAGCCCAGACGTTTATGCACGAGCTATAATGCTTTAGCTTGGTACTTAACACAGAGCTAACAGCCCATTATACAGAATTAGCCACATGGTTCTGCCTAACTGCAAGTGTGCTGGAAAATGTGTGAAATAATAGGGTTCTTTATTTCTTTATTTTTTTTGCGGTACGTGGGCCTCTCACCGCTGCGGCCTCTCCCGTTGCGGAGCACAGGCTCCGAACGCGCAGGCCCAGCGGCCACGGCCCATGGGCCCAGCCGCTCCGCGGCATGTGGGACCCTCCCGGACCGGGGCATGAACCTGTGTCCCCTGCATCGGCAGGCGGACCCCCAACCACTGCGCCACCAGGGAAGCCCAATAGGGTTCTTTGATGAGCAGAAATATGTCTGCTACAAACTGTTACAGAATAAAAAAGCATAGTGAGTGATGCAGGTAGGCATAGACAACAAATGTCAATTATAGCCTATAACTCTAAACAATGCTTAAAATGTTGATATACAAAATTATGTTCAGAATTTGAAACTACTTGCTCTTTGGAATGTTCTTCGCCCAAGTTTGACTTGTTTTTAAAGTAATTCAGGGACTCATGGTTGAAAATCACTGACTTTAAAAGTAATTTCCAGAATGCAACCCATTTATAGGTTGGAGACTGTGGTTATAACCATAATAAGTTAATCAGTTACCTCATAATTGCTGATTTCCATAGATATTATAGTTTAAACCAGTACATCTCAAATTATTTGTGATGATGGACTAGTTTCTTTTAAAGTTTCTACTGATGCTTTTATAAAATACAAGAAAAATTTAATGCTAGAAAAAAATGACATAAAAAGAGACATATGAAATACAGGCCCTACTTTTTTTACTGTTAGATTCAACATTTATAAAACTACTCTCAACTTCTGTACTTAGCTTGTTGTGGGATAGGTAATGAGGAGTCTGGACCTTTACTGGTCCATGGATCATATTTTCAGGAGCGTGGTATAAAGGACTGTGGTTAATGCTTTGCAAATATTGTCTACTTTAATTCTCATAACCTTATGGGTTAGAGGTACTGTGTCTCACCATTTATAGAAAACTGGGCACAAAGAGTGTGAGTAAATTGCCCAAGGTCACACAGAAGCCACACAAAACCCACGTAGTCCAGTTTCACTCCAGAGTCCATGTGCTTGTCTGCCTCTGATTTTGCAAAGATGAAATGAGGTAGCATTCTAGTCCGAGACTGTCAAGAATGGACATAGATACAGGCAGAGAAAGTTACAATTGGAATTAATTCATTTGCCTAAAGAAAGAGAAGGTTAAGGATCACATAGTGATTTTCATATAAAAGTAGAGTTACAGAGGATACTGACGAACTGTTCTTTTATCCTGTAGTGGGTCCGCATCTGTTTACATTTTACCTTAGTTAGTATTATAATCCCTGATTTACAAAAGAAAATAATGATAGTATTTCCTTGAAATACGTGTCTTTCTGCCATAACTCAGTTTCATATACTGAGTACTTTGTTTCATATACTGAGTACTTTGTTTCTTTTATTCTTCCTCTTAATTCTTTTTAGTTTGATAGCATAATCAACCAAATTGTTACTATTACACTCGTATAAACATAGAAATAACATTTCTTTCTACAGGAATCAGTATTTTAAGGAGAAAATGTAAGTAATGATTGTCTATTATGATGGTAATAGGTGATCATGTTGCTGTCTTAATTTTTTTCCATCATTAAATTCTTGATATAATGAAATTGGAAACTTTTTGAGTATTTGAATTTCAACAACAGTATTTTAGTAAATTTTAAAAAATCTTCTTCCTATAGAAATCTGGTTAAGAAGTACTGTCCCAAGCGTTCCACCAAAGATGAAGAGCCAAGGTAAATTATATACCTATTTACGGTTGCATATTAAAATTTAAAAGAAGACCTATATTTTTGTTATTTAGTAAAATAAATATTATGCCATTAGCTTTTTATAAAGATTTTTAAAAGTTTATTTTAATAAAAAATCATAATGTTTATGAAAGAGGAAACTACTGTTTTTTCTTATGAGGTTGCATACTTCAGTGGGCTTGATAATAGCTTTTTAGAATAGTTGAAGTGTGATTTCTAAGTAATAGGTGGACTGGGACTCCACTTGAATGATGTAGTCTCCAGAAGAAAAGGGTATTTTTTCCATACTTTATTTTGTAGCTGTCAGCTTGTTAGATTCTTGCTTTTACTTTTACAGGTAGTAAAACAATTTGGCTGGTTGGTTTAAAGGGGTAGTGAAAAGGAATAAGGTTTTCAGGGTAATTTTGGAACTCTGAATAAAAGGTTTGCCTATGAGTAAACCTTTGCCTATGAGCTTTTTGGCATTCTTAAACAGGGGGATACATGGATGGTTGTAAAATGCAGAAACAAAAGGAGACTACACTTAAAACAACTTTGTGTGTAATTGTCAGTTGTTAGAGGATTCTCAGGTTTAGTGTTAATGGAGTCCTAGCTGAGCTGTCCACCTTCAGCTTATGTAAGAGTGTTCCGGCAGTGTATTCAAGTAGATCTATACATTTTAATACAGTGATTCTCTTTGTTTCTCTCCTTCCCTCCACACACATTCTTTTTACCCTTATTTTTGCCCCTTCTTACGCCTCTGTGGTGCCAACCATAGCGGCACTTCAATTGCATTCAGGATGTGGGCAGGCATACAGGCAGCTGTGTCCAGAGCTGATAGCAAAATTGTTCTGTAGATCACCCATCGAGATGCATTTGAGTGGTATAATTGGCAGGTTCTGTCCTCTAGAGCAAGCATATCATCTCTGTAATAGGTTCAGCTGCCAAGCCTAGGAATCCAACCACGTTCATTCCCAAGCTCAGGGCAGTTAATTGGCAACTTAAGAGATTCCAGTATGCTAAAAGAGCCTGCAGGTAGTATTCTTATTATTTTTTGACCCCAAATATCCTTTTATTTATAAATTAAGACTGCCCGAAGATATATAAACATGTACAACTTGAGTTTAAGCAGGATTCTTTTCATACAAAGTTAATTTAGAGCTAGTAGCTGAGATTTAGGTTGAATATGTTAAAATTTGTTAAGTATCAGGCTCAATCTATACCTCACAAAAACATTTATAATGAAAGTAAAAATAAATTTCACCATTTTTAATATGTTTTTGTCAGGTTTACTTCGTGTATAGCCTTTTTTAACATCCTTAACGAGTTAAATGACTATGCAGGACAGCGAGAAGTAGTAGCAGAAGAAATGGCGCACAGAGTTTATGGTGAATTAATGAGATATGCTCATGACCTGAAAACTGAAAGAAAAATGGTAATTCTTGTCATTTTTATACAGTTGTAATAGTATATGAAATATTTTCACAGAAATGAAGTAATTACTTTGCTTTTTAAAATAATGTATAGTCATACAGCATAAACTGGTTTTCTATTTTTCTAAATTTCTTCTAGCTAAAATTATCTCAAGACATTCTTGCTAATTTGTGATCCTTTTGGATTTAAGACTGAGGTTTGGTAAATTCCAGCCAGTGGGACAAATCTAGTTTACTGCCTGTTTTTGTTTCCTAGTTACCATGAGCTAAGAATGGTTTTTACATTTTTAGATAGTTGAAAAGAAAATGAAAAAAAGAATATTTTATGACATGTGAAAATTATATGAAATTCAAATTTTAGTGACCATAAAGTTTTATTGGAACAGGCGCACGCTCATTCACTTATATATTATCTGTGGCTGCTTTTGCATTATATTAGCAGAGTTGAATATTTGTAACAGAGACAGAGACCATGTGGTTTGCAAAGCCTAAAATGTTTATTTGACCCTTTATAGAAAACTTTGTCAACCCCTATTTAGATAATCATGTATTTTCCAAGAGATTATATCTGTCTTAAAGATTATATTTAACATATTTAAATAATAGTCTATAAAATGCATTTTAGAGAATTTTTGCTTTACTAATAATCTATTCCTAAGTCTTGATAAAGTTTACATAATTAGTACCTTGAAAAAAAATTAAGTGAAAAGCCTTTTGGGGACTTTAGGCTTTAATTGGTATTGTAATTTAAAAATTTGTTTTGTTTGTGTTTTTGGTTGTTGTTATGATCTTCAGCATCTTCAAGAGGGACGAAAAGCTCAGCAATACCTTGACATGTGCTGGAAACAGATGGATAATGTGAGTTATAGTGTTTTCATGTTTAACATAAAATTTTGTAGCATTTAGCTCTAAATGCTCTTATGCTTCATATCTATTTGAGTTTAATATTTCTCAATGTAGTATTATTTATAATTTGACATTGGTGTAAGTAGAGAATATGAGACCATTTTGTCTGTTTTCCTTTTTTTCTACATGGTTCTGTACTTGTACCAATTCTATAATCTTCAGATAATTGTAAACATTTAGGAAGATTCTTTTGACTTTGCCATTGTTACTATAAAATATTGATAGAGGATAGAAGTAATAAGGAAATATTGATATATCCTAGAAGACCATGTGACTGAGACTAAGAGAAACTAGATTCTAGTTCTGCCTTTTCCTTAGCACCTGATTTTTTCTTGACTTCAGTTTTAGCAAATAAAAAATGAAGACAGTGAACTAGATTATATGAAATGTTTCTTCCAGTTCAGTGATTCTATAATTGAGTGTTTCTAGTACTGGGTTGCTGGTCATAGACTATCTTACTGTAGGAAATAAAGTACTTTATAGGGCAAAATTATAAAAGCATAATAATTATTTACTTTAAAAACTTTCCAAAGGTACTTATTAATGTGGCTTTTCTTAAATATTCTGGCATACAGTCATTTGAAAACCAAGATGTTTACATGGAACATTTTATCTTCTTTACTTAAAACGTTATGCCAAATGATGTGCTGTCGTATAAGGTTAATATTCTTTCTTGAACCCTCATGTTAGCAAGCAGTTTACTCTTTCCCTGCATATTTTTATGATGGACACTGTATTCCTTGAAAATTATGCTGAAGGGAGTTTTTCATGTTAATCAATTTAGCTTGTGGTTGTTGGAAAAAGGACAAGTCTGAGATTAAAAAAAAAAAGTATGCATATACGTGTACAGCTTTCAGCTTTTTTTCTTTCTTTTTTAAAGGCACGGATTAAAAGCTTAGATTAAATTTCTACTATATAAACTGTCACTGATGTAAGATTCTAATCACCAGTACTGATTGAGAATTCTTAGGTATATTAATAGTCTCTTTTCATTTTTGTTTTGATTTTCTTTCTAATTGGTTTCAGAAAGACTTCTAGGGAGTGTTTACATTTATTAAATTTTAAATTGCCTTAACTAGCATCCTTAGTATCTGCCACCCAATGAATGTGTATGTATGTGTGTCTTTCATTTGCACAAAATAACAGACTCCTACACTCATGAGTTATTGGTCCCTTTAAAAACTGGAGTTGACACAAATCATTCCTGTTGATATGTGCTGACTTACCTTTAGAACAATTGTTAGTTATTAAGCAAAAGTCATAAGGGTCATAAAAAACAAGTGTCAAAAAATGTAGGAGAGATTTCTTTAAGGCGTTAACAATATTGTGAAATAAAGGTGAGTTCAGCTCAACTCATGTTTATTGAAGGCATCTGTAACATGTATTGAGTCTGGTACAAAAGCAAATATGATATGGTCTTGTTTTTGTGGAGCCTGCAGTCTAGTAAGAAAGAGACACAAATATAATTTCTGTGTAATATGTAGAAATATGTGCAGGATGCCTTTTATAGTCCCATGTCTTCATGTCTAATCAAGAAAACGAAATTGTAAAATTCCTAACATGTTTGCAATAATTGAGAGGATATTTAAAGAACTAGGAGAGAAAGCTTGAATTAGTGACAGAGTATTGAACATTGAGAAAAAAAAAATTTAAAGACAGTTATTAACCCAGGATAAACAAAATAGGCCCCACTGACATTTAAGTTGAGGGCAGAAGACAGTAGCCTGTGAAGAAGATTTTGAAGGAATGGTCAGAGATTGAGAAGATTGAAGCATCAGAAATGGCAGGTCTATCAGGTGGTTCCAAGTAACAGATCATATGAGTTTATAAGAACAAAGCTTGGAAACTGGTCAGTTCTAGAGTTGGTCAGTAGCTCAGTGATGTCACCAAGGCTGCTTTTTCTATCTGTCCACGTTGCTGTCTTGACCATGGCCTTTTCCCTCAGGCTTGTCCCTTTATGGTCAACAGTTGATTTAAACAGCCAAGCACCACATCCTCATTCAGCTGCATGCAGAAGCAGGAGAGAGGAAGCATTTCTCTTCTGTTTCCTCTTATCAGGGAAGGAAAGCTTTCCCAGAAAACCCCAGCAGAATTCTTCATGGGTGCCTTTGACAGGATTAGATTACTTGACCATGCCCCAGCTGTGGAAAGGCTGGTAAAGCAAGCTATCAGCTCTTTTCAGCCTCCGTACAGGGAGGTGGGCTCTTCTGAGAAAGAATAGGGGAGTAGATTTGGCTGTTGATTAGTCTGCGACACAAAGGATGAAGAAAGGAGAATCTTTTCTGGAGTATGTCCCTGTATTGTATAATGATATAATATCTTTCAGGGAAGGAGTATTTTTAATATTACTGTACTCATGATTCTTTTGCTGTTGCAAGGAAATTAGTAGGTAGATTTTTTTTCACAAACAATAGGACACTTAATATAAAAGTATCGTTGTGGGCTTCCCTGGTGGCGCAGTGGTTGAGAGGCCGCCTGCTGATGCAGGGGACACGGGTTCGTGCCCCGGTCCGGGAAGATCCCACATGCTGCGGAGCGGCTGGGCCTGTGAGCCATGGCCGCTGAGCCTGCGCGTCCGGAGTCTGTGCTCCGCAACGGGAGAGGCCACAGCAGTGAGAGGCCCGTGTACCGCAAAAAAAAAAAAAGTATTGTTGTATATGAGTTGCCTCAAATTACACCAAAATTAGTAGCTATAGCTGGTCAATTTGAAAACACAGCTCTGAACTGAGTTTCAGAGAATTAACTGTGGAACTTTAATTTTAATCTTCACAGGAAAGTGACATTCTGTATATTATGTATATTCAGATATATTTATGCTTTGAATAAATTTTATGTATCTCATACTAATAAAAATAGTAAGTACATTTAAAATTTTTACCCTGGAAACTTAAGGGTAAACTAAAAGCCAGAGCAATAGTTGTGTGAGCTGATACAGTGGCATTTGAAAAGTGGTTCTAGAGGTTTTGGGGTATGGTTTACAGGACCTTGCTAAGGGCTTGGGGTTTAGTACTCACACACTGACAAAGTTTAGGTTTTAGCTCTGTATGTTTGGAGAGTTGGAACTGAAATCCCTGTATAAAGTTTGACTCTTTGAAGGACTAAACCTTTAGTGAAAGGTGGCAGGAACTCTGCCTACTGGCCAAGGGAGGTAGCGAAGAACCTTGTCTCTATCTGAAGGTCAAGGAGTAGGAGGTATCCTGTGAGAAATTTAAACCTTTTGACCTTGTAGTTATGAGGTTTGCACTATCTGAATAGTTTTGTAATCCTCAAGACAAGAAATTGACATTGTAACTGGTTAGGTAAATAGAAAATGTTGACATCCTGTGCTTTCTTCTGAGTAATTCTCAGAATACAGGTAGCAAGGCATATATTTTCCAGACAAGAAATTGGAAGAGTCTCTTCTGTGGATTTTAATTAGTTTGAGAGGAAAGACTTAAAGATACAGGCACCATGGTTTCTCCAAGGAAACTGCCTGGCCTTATCACTGTAGAGGAAAAGGCCATAATCCAATTAGCTTTTAAAATAAGAGCAGATAGGCAGGTATCCCCAGACATTTAAAAAAAAATCTAATGTAAACACCAGAGTATGCAGAAAAACTAGTATGCAGAAAAAAAAGCAACTTTGAAGAAACAGTGACTGTGAAAGGAAATAGAAATTAAAAAGCAAAAACAAGCAAAACCCAGAACCATTATTAACATTTTCATAGGGAATAGAGAAGTTATTACATCCATGAAATAGGAACAAGATACTATAAAGAAAGGAACATGTAAAGAACAAAAAAGAACTTTATGGTAGCAGAAATGAAAAGCTCACTAGAAAGAATGAAATTGAAGAAATCTCTCAAAGTAGAGCAAAATGACAGAGATTGAAAATATGAGAGAAAATATAAGAGAATTAGAGGGACTCATCCTATAGGTTCATTTTCAAGATAATAAGCATCTTAAAAAAGAGAAGACATAGAAAATGGATAGGCAAAATTAATTCAAGAAAATTTCCCCAGAACAGAAAGACATGAGTTTCCAGATGGAAAGGATTTTCCAGGTGCTCAGCACAGTGGATTCACAGCAAGACATATCTTCATGAAATTTCAGAACAATTAGGAGAGAGAGAAGATCCTACCAACCTCCAGAGAGAAAAAACAAAACAAAATAAACATATTTTATGCAAAGGATCAGGGATCAGAATGGGATCAGGAAGCCAGAAGACAGTGGAGTGGTACTTTTACATTTCTGAAGAAAGAAGATTTCCTACTTAGAGTTTCATACCTGGCCACATTTTATCAATTAAAATAGATGGAAAGGCATTTTCAGTCTTGGAGACTTAAACAATTATCTCTTTTAGGAAGCTTCTTTTAGGAAGCTACTGCTGAATGTGTTCTAGCAAAATAGAGAAATGAACCAAGAAAGGGGCAGGTGTGGAGCTAGGAACTAGGAGATTCGAATTAAGGGAGAATTGAAAGGAATCCCCAGGAAATGGTGAAGGGAAATCCCAAGGTAACAGTTATTCAGTAGGCCTAGTTTGGTAACCAGTTCAAATTTTAACAGGTTACAAACCTCTGGGTTCTTGATTTCATTAAGAAGATAAAATTGATAGAATTCAGAATATGTTTGAATTAACTGAGGAGAGATGTAAAGAATTGGGGACACTAGGGTTGAATTAGAGAAAAGTACATTGAAAACTAAAGCAAATTTTTTAGAAAAAGACATTAACTTAAGGATAAAAAAATACACAGGAAAGTAAATATATGCTCAGTTGTGAATAGGTTTTGCAAAGTCATACTAATTTGAATTAAATTAAAAAAATTTTAGAGGTCATTCTGGGCAGATGGTATTCCTGGGACACTTGGAAGAAACAACACAAAACCACTTTGGAGGGATGTTTCCACATTCTAAGCTACATTGGGACTCCATCAAAAAAAAAAAAGAAAAAAGAAAAAAGAAAAGAAAACAAGCAAACACCAAAACCAATCAACCAAGCATATAAAAACCAAACAAAAAACACCAAACAAACCAAAAAAGTCATGCTTAAGATGAGCTTAAAATAAAAAATTACAAAATATATATGATTATTTTTCTTATTATAAAGAGATTGAGATACATAATAAATATTAACTCAGTCATGCCTATGATTTTTTTTCTTCACAGTCTTATGACGTCTGATATTTAAGGCACATGGTTTGTAATAGTAAAATTCTTTGCTAATTTAGAAAAATTTTACTTGTAGTGTGTAATTTTACACAATACACAGTGGCAATACCTTAAAGTTACTTTCTTTTTTATTGAGGTATAGTTGGTTTACAATACTGTGTTGGTTTCAGATGTACAGCAAAATTATTCAGTTATATATATATAAATTCTTTCAGATTATTTTCCAGTATAGGTTATTATAAGATATTGAATATAGTTCCTTGTGCTATATAGTAAATCCTGTTGCTTATCTGTTTTATGTATAGTAATTTATATCTGTTAACCCCATACTCCTAATTTATCCCCCATTCCCTTTCCCCTTTGGTAACCATAGTTTGTTTTCTATGTCTGTGAGTCTGTTTCTATTTTGTATATACATTCACTTGTATTATTTTTTAGATTCCACTTATAAGTGATATCATATAATATTTGTCTGACTTAGTCTGCTTAGTATGATATTCCAGGTCCATCCATGTTGCTACATATGATAATATTTCATTCTTTTCTTTATGGCTGAGTAATATCCCATTGTATATATATAGCACATCTTTTTTTTTTGCGTTACGCGGGCCCCTCACTGCTGTGGCCTCTCCCGTTGCGGAGCACAGGCTCTGGACGCGCAGGCTCAGCAGCCATGGCTCACGGGCCCAGCCACTCCGCAGCATGTGGGATCCTCCCGTACCGGGGCACGAACCCACGTCCCCTGCATCAGCAGGCGGACTCCCAACCACTGCGCCACCAGGGAAGCCCCTATAGCACATCTTCTTAAACCAGTTGTCTGTTGATAGGCATTTGGGTCGTTTCCATGGCATAGCTATTGTAAATGGTGCTGCTGTGAACATTGGGATGTATGTATCTTTTCAAATTAGAGTTTTCTTCTTTTCTGGATATATGCCCAGGAGTGGGACTGCTGGATCATATGTTAGTTCTAGTCTTAGTTTCTTGAGAAACCTGCATACTGTTTTCCACAGTGGCTACACCAATTCGCATTCCCACCTTGTAGGACAGTTCCCTTTTCTCCACACTCTCTCCAGTGTTTATTATTTGTAGACTTTTTTGATGATAGTCATTCTGACCAGTGTGAGGTGATACTTCATTGTGGTTTTGTTTGCATTTCTCTAATAATTAGCTATGTTGAGCACCTTTTCATGTGGCTGTTGGACATCTGTATGTCTTCTTTGAAGAAATGTCTAGGTCTTCTGCCCATTTTTTGATTGGGTGGTTTCTTTGATATTGAGGTGTATGAGTTGTTTATATATTTTGAATATTAACCCCTTATCAGTCACATCACTTGCAAACATTTTCTCCCATTCCATAGGTCTTTTTATTTTGTTGATGCTTTCCTTTGCAAAAGCTTCTAAGTTTGATTAGGTCCCATTTGTTTAGTTTTGCTTTTACTTCTTTTGCCTCAGGAGACTGATCTAAGAAAGTATTGTTGCGATTTATGTCCGAGAATGTTTTGCTTATGTTCTCTTCTAGGAGTTTAATGGTGTCCTGTATTATGTTTAGGTCTTTAATACATTTCGAATTTATTCATTTTTTTTTGCGGTACGTGGGCCTCTCACTGTTGTGGCCTCTCCCGTTGCGGAGCACAGGCTCCAGACACGCAGGCACAGCGGCCATGGCTCATGGGCCCAGCCGCTCCGCGGCATGTGGGATCTTCCCGGACCGGGGCACGACCCCGTGTCCCCTGCATTGGCAGGCGGACTCTCAACCACTGTGCCACCAGGGAAGCCCTCAAATTTATTCTTATATAAGGTGTTGAGGGAGTGTTCTAATTTCATTGATTTACATGTAGCTGTCCAGTTTTCCAAACACCACTTGCTAAAGAGGCTGTCTTTTCTCCATTGTATATTCTTGCCTCCTTTGTCATAGAGGTGTGTCGTAGGTGTGTGGGTTTATTTCTGGGCTCTCTTTTCTGTTCCATTGATCCATGTCTTTTTTTGTGCCAATACCATGCTGTTTTGATAACTGTAGCTTTATAGTATTGTCTGGAATCTAGAAGGGTTATGCCTCCAGCTTTGTTCTTTTTCCTCAGGATTACTTTGGCAATTCTGGGTCTCTTATGGTTCCATATAAATTTTAGTATTATTTGTTAACTTCTAAATGAGATAAATCTAACTTTATTTTTCAGCATTTTAATTTTTTTTTAACAGAGTAAAAAGAAATTTGAAAGAGAATGTAGAGAGGCAGAGAAGGCACAACAGAGTTATGAAAGATTGGATAATGATACTAATGCAACCAAGGCAGATGTTGAAAAGGTAAGAAATAATCCAAACTGACTTTAATATCAAAATATTATTACTTGCATATGGAGAGTAGTTACAATATTTGTGTTGGTATTAGAATTTCCTCAAGAGATACACTACATCTAAATCTAAGATACACAAATATTTGCATACTTTACACATAGTGGTCTGAGAAAGTAATTAGAATAAAATTAATATATTAATGTCAACTGCATTCTGAGTGTATAGGAAAGACATAGTTGCTATTAGGAATGAGCTTCTATCCTATTTAAAAATAAGATAGAAAGTCTAAGGTATGTTGATGGGGTATGCAAATAGAGGCTGGATAGTGTGCTTCCCAACTATACAGAAGGGAAAACATGATAAAACTGTCAGAAGTGTGATATCAACTATTTGTTTATTATTTGATTAATTCAGTCATTCATTTTGGAAAACTGAATTCTCTCTTGTCATTCACTGACTGATTCTGGGCCAGATGTTCTGTAACATTACTGTTGGTAGGATCAGCCCTGTAACTTTTGCTGCTTAGCTTCTCCTTCTCCCCTGCTGTATGCTCTTTATCTTAGGACATTTGACCCAGTGATAGTGCTGAAATGTTGGGATTTTGAAAAATAGATGAACCTTACTCCATGTTTTTGTATATACAAAGGCCCAACATTAGTATATTTTCTCCTTAGAATTTTGTAATTTCCTATAGCATCAGAACAAGGAAAAGCAAGAAGAAAGGAATAATTTCTTTACCAGTTTTTAAAAACCCCAAAATCATATACATTTCAGGTTACAGTTACCTTAAAGTTCTTCTAGTATAACTTATGATGGCGTTTATCTTGTCTACCCTATTTTTAATAACATATCTCTTATGATAGTAAGTTCCCTGTTATTGGGAATATAGAGTCTTAAAATAGTCTGTTCATTTTTTTAAAAAAAATTACCATTTCCTTATATTGACCCCATTTGTCTCCCTGTTCAGCTTTAGTTTCTTTGAGGTACCAGAAAAATAACAAATCTATATTTTTCTCAAAATAGGTTTTTAGATATTTGTAGCAGATTATCTACCCCTAGATGAACTATTGTGTTTCTTCACCTATTGCACATATGAAAAATCTTCAAGTTACTTTTCAGACATCTTCAAGTTACTACTTTCCTTGGATACCAATTTAACCAATATTCTTTGTTACCTCAAATTGGGTATAGTTCAGTCTGATCAGTTCTGAGTTTGATTACCTCCTTTGGTTTGAACACTAAATTTATGTTAATTATACCCTAAATGTATATCAGCTTTTTGGGCAACCACATTGTTTGGCTTGACTCTCATTGAGTTTATGGTTAACTGAAATCCCCATGTCTTTTCACATATGGTGTGGTATAAGAATATGTGTCTCAGACAGAACTTGTACTGTTGGTCTTTTAAACGTATATGCTACATCTGTATCAATTATTAGATTTGATCCTGCTGTTAAGATTTTTGGATCCTGATTTTGATCATCCACTATATTAATTTCCTTCCAGGTATCATGTCATACACATAATGTGTTATCATTACTTGATAAAAATGTGGACCACAACACTTGCAAACAGCCCTATTTTATATATGGGAAACTTCCTTGGTGGTTGACATTGACTCAAGAACTCCTTTGACTTATTATCAAACATCAATTGAATACATAGTTTATGTACTAGGCAAGTTAGGCGAACTCTTTAACTGGACTCTCATTTTTAACTTACTCATTTTGTCTATAAAGATATCTTTAGAGACAGGTCAGACGTCTTGAAATCTAGATATAACATGTCTACTAGTTAGTTTCACCTAACTAGTTCAGAATTTTTATGTTTATATCTTCCTTTTTTATTCTTATTTGTTTGCAACCCCTTTAATTATTAGAGAATTAGGAAAACTTTGAGGTTTTACTTTAGATATCAGAGAGTAGAGGAATTCTGTTTTAAGTGACCAGGAAGGGAAGGGAACATAGTTTCAAGTAACTACTTATGAAAGTTTAAAAATAAAGCATAAAAAAACAGGTGAAGAGGGAGCAGGCCGAGTATCTTCCTAAAGAAAAGAAAGTCAGTTGCACAAAACCGTGAATATATGTAACACTATCAAACTGTACACTTAAAAATGATTAAGATGGTAAATTTTATGTTATGTGTATTGTGTATTTTGCCACAATTAAAATTTAAAAAAATTTGATGAAATATAAAAAGAAAAAGAAAGAAAGAAAGGAAAGGCAGTAGATGTGAAACCCAGAATATGCCAGGGAAGGTGTCAATTGTTTTAGCTTCTAGCCTTATTCTCTTACATAACCTGCTGGAGCCTTTCTCCCAGGCCTTGGGAATCACAGCCAGTGACTTGGAACATGAGGAGCTTCCCCTGAAAGAACCATTGTGGGTAGGGAATATTCTGGAAACCTTTTATTCCATCATAGTTTGTGAGAGGAGGGAGAAAAGGGAAAGGAGTGAATGAATGTGTACTTACGATCCCAGGTTAGAACTTGAAGTGTATTTTTCTGTAGAAATATTTTGGGCCATGGTGTTTAGTTTTCATAGTACTTATTTATTTTAATTTTCAAGTACACTGTGGATTAAATGGATTTTTGTGGACTTATCTGAGATCTTGACTGCCATGTATTTCTGTAGGTCGGTTTGTTTCTGAGTTCAGAAGAACTAATTTGTAGACCTACTGTTAGAAGGTTAGGGATTACAATTGTAAAAACTAAAATTAGAATAATGAAATGTATTCACAATGTGCTTTTATTGATATAATTTTCAAAGCACTCTCATCTAACATGATTTATAGCTTGGAACACTGAAAATTTTTCAATTCTTATTTTGTTTTTTTCTATTACTTTATAACAATTGAGAAAATTGTTTAGATTCCCCTCCAATAAATCTAGATTTGTGCTGTTTGTATTCTGATGTTCTCACCAATGAATCAGTAGATGGTACTAATATTCTCATTCAAAAAGCATTTCTATAAGACCTTCCTTGAGATGAACAGAACTATATTCTAAATAAGCATTCCTTAGATAAAGTACCTGTGGATTTTTGTATAGCAGTAGAAATTATTGTTAAGCATTACATTATCCCCAAATCCCATTTTTACTATTATTTGGTTTCACTGTGGTTCTGAGTTGGATATAACTGGATTATGTTTAAAGAAATGTTTTACTGCTAACTTTGTAACTGTCTAAATTATTCCTGATGCTATTTTTCTCTTCTGATTAAAAGCTTACTATTTCAAACCATAGTGTTGTCATTTATTTAATTAAAAAAATCTGAATTTGTTAAGGAGAAACTTTATTTTCATGGATTATTGTAAGGGGGAGGATTTATTATTGCAGTAAGAAAAAGGGAATATTGCAGCAGGGAGACTGGCCATAAGATCTGTAAGCCTCTCCTTTACTTTTAAATGATATCAGTAGTTAGAAAAAGTCTCGTTTTAGTATAACTTCTAGAAAAGTGAATTAGCTGTGATTTTGTTGCTCGTCTTGTCGTTGGTGATGATTTGGACCAATTTGCTTCTAGGCTAAACAGCAGTTGAATCTACGTACACATATGGCTGATGAAAATAAGAATGAATATGCTGCACAATTACAAAACTTCAATGGAGAACAGCACAAACATTTCTATGTAGTGATTCCTCAGATTTACAAGGTAAAATTTAGAGATGTGAAATTAACCTAATTTTAGATACGGAAGAGCTAGTCTTTAAATGTAAAACTTTAAAATTTCAGGCATCAATCAGAATGTTTCTAGATTCACTAGTTAGTCATCAAGATTGGTGATAAGAAATTTATGATTATAGATGTGAAAAGTAGATTTTTTCTGACTGAAATCACAGATTTTTCTAGAGATTTATTAGTAGTATATTAAACAGTTCACTCAAACAATGACATTTTCTAGATAAATTTTAATACTACATTATTAAGTCTTATGAGATGGGAGAATTCATTGGAATTGTGTATTGTAGTCTGCTCACTTAGAATTTGGATGTAGCTTTTTGACACTATAACAGAATCATTGGCATTAGTCCAGATGGCAGAAATAAAACTTAAGAAATGCATTTGCTAGCCTGGTTTTTGCCTGCTTATCTTCCTAGCTGCCAGATCATAAATGTAATTCAGGCTTATAAATCCCATCCATCATCATTTGATGATACTAATTGCCAAACGGCCCTCAGGTAAGGACTCCGGAGGTTAAATTATGTTACCGCCTATTCTAGAAAGAAGAGAAATTAGAGAAAAGGGATTTAGTGAAACAGTGTTGAAAACAGTAGTACCTGGGAGAGCAGAGCTTTTGTGAAAAGAGTGTCAGTCCAAATACACCTTTTTTTTTCTTGGAGGCAAGTTAGAAGTACAAAGGAAGCATAGTGAGAGGTGGTGGACTAGAGAGGGTATCAGGTTTCAATCATTTAATCCAGAGCATCTAGTCAGCCTGTCCTCACTCAGTGGTGCTTTTCTAAACTTACCAGCTACGCCTTCGTATTCTGAGGAGACCTTAACTTGGAGATCCACTGCTTTTCTGTGTTTTGGGGCTTGATCCTTTTGTTTGTACTTTGCTATGGAGCAGTCTTGCCACTTTGTGATGCTGGGCACAGTTCTTTTGTGAAAATGCAGGTCTCAAAATAAATTCCCAGGCTTTGGGAAGTAAAGAGGAAAAAAGTAGTATGAAGGCTTTGGGAGCTAGGGGACTTCAGCAGTGTAGTTGCTTCCTATGAGAAAGAAAGGTCATTGTTGACAAATAAGTGTCAAAAAATGCCTTTAAGTTATTCGGTATAATTGTGTCCTGGCATAATTCTTAGTGCCATGTGCCAATGAATTTTTGAATTGTAGGGATTCCATACATGTATCACTTTGACCTTGTGTCTTCTTGTTTTTCCTCTTGTGTCTCCAACCTTTCAATAGTCACTTTGAGCTGTAGAATGTGGTAGGTTTGGGTACCCATTGGTATGCGGTCAACTGTGGATTCTTGGTCCAGTCAGATCTTACCAAAATGTTCTGAACTAACTTAAGGGTTTAGAATGCTCACACTTGTATATGTTTTATGCCAGTTGCTTAAAAAGGAAAAAAAAAAATGTGTCAAAATTTTGTGTTAAAATGAAACTTTTCCTAGAAGCATAAACAACAATAACTGCTCTGACTGAAGAATGAATGGTGGAGGTTGTATGAGGCAGAGATCTGGTAGCCTGTAGGGGGTCCTTTAGAAGGCTTGAAAACTGTTGTCACCTGGTTTTAGGATATACTAAAAGCCTTGTATATATATATATTTTTTTGCTACTTTACAGACCTCAAGTTTTAAGTACTTTAGGTCTGTAGCACTTGTTAAAAGGTATTTACAACAATGTAACTGTTAGGGTAGAATCTTTATGGGTTTTTTTTTTTGGAAGGGGGTTGCTTCAGAATGAAAAGAAAATTCAGTTTTCCTTTTTTTTTTTTTTAAAATTCCTAATTATTAGCAACTACAAGAAATGGATGAAAGAAGGACTATTAAACTCAGTGAGTGTTACAGAGGATTTGCAGACTCAGAACGCAAAGTTATTCCTATCATTTCAAAGTGTTTGGAAGGAATGATTCTTGCAGCAAAATCAGTTGACGAAAGAAGAGTAAGTGTTTTATAATTAATTTGAATAATATATTTGGTTTAAGTTAGTGAAATGAATTGGGAAAGGGGGGAATTAATTGATGGTTAGCTGATTTTAAGCTATATTCTGTAGAAGTAACTTATTGCCAGATTCCTTTGGGCTGTAAGGATCATTCTAAACACTAAAATTCTAATTGTTTAAAAGGAAAGAGTTCTAATGCTTCTCTTTCCTTTCCCCACTAATTTTTCAATTCTGCTCCAAGAGTATAACTAACCTATGAACTGTATGTTACAAACTGTATGATACTGTTAGTCTAGTGAAAGTTTAAAGAAGGAAATGGTCAGATCTAGAGTTGTAAGAGTTGCTTGTAACCACAGGAGTTGGTACTTGAGCTGTATTTTGAAGCCTGAGGAGTGTATGGAATGATGACTCAAGAGAAAAGAAGGAGGCCATTATGAGTAGAAGGTACTGCCTTCAAGAAGCCCTGCTCCTCTTGAAGAAATAAATCTAATCACATTATATCTTGATTAAGGTCTAGAAAAGGTCTTGTACCTGGTCATTTTTCAGTAAATGTTGATTTAGTGACTGAGAAGCTAAGGTTAACAGAAAATGAGGATATGAGGGAAAAGGAAGAGAAGAGAACCAGTGTTTGGGGAGTGCCAAATATATACTACGTATTTTAGTCTTCATGGCAAGTTGGTTTTATACGAGTGAAGGTCTTTCCTGTAACAGAATTCTGACTTAAATTTAAAAAAGGAAAGAAGATTTTGGGGTTCTTTGGGAATTCAAACATACATTTATATTTTGGTATAGCTGCATCCAAGGTTACAAATATAGTTAGGTCCTCCTCCTCTCTCCCTCTTCTTACCCTTTAGCAGATTGGTGGGGGTGGCATTAGTGACAAAAAAAAAGTAAGGTATGACCTAAGGGTGACTTTTGACTAAATGATAGGCAAAATGTACTACCAACAGAAATAGGGAATAAAAGAGGAGAGCTGGTAGGGGTGGGGGAGGAGTTTGTAGAGATACAGTATTCTGTTTGCAAATAATGATTTTAAGGTGTCAATAGAACATTCATATAGAGGTATGTATGTCCAAAATCAATATATAACACTTATGTGAGTTTTAAAGTTTTGGGTAAATGGTGCTAAACTTTATTTCAGAGTTAATTTTTGCACTCAGTATTGTTTGTGAGATCTTTTTTCATTGTTCTGTTAACATTTCCTCGTATGTCTTTAATATATTTTATTTATCCTTTCCCCTGTTGCGTGAATGAAAGCCTTTCTACTTGTCTCTTACCCTCTTTTACAATTAGATGCCCTTTCCTCTTTTCCATAGGTCACCTTCTTTGGAGACATCCTGTAAAACAGAAAACCCTTTTCCTTTAAAACTTAGAATTTCTACTTGAGAATAACCATGGAGGGAAAACATCCGTGAACATTACAAATTAATAAAGTAGTAATTTGTAAATTGTTTTTCTATAGGAATTTAAATATTTATGGTTTATTACATATTCACAGTAAGAAATTATTCACTTTAAACCTTTAATAAGTATTGTAGAATTATTTCTTTAAATTTTTATTTGTTGTTTTCTAACACAGATTAAGGTTTTTGAAAGCTAATATGGTATCATAAGCAAATGAAATGGTTAAAAAAAAACATGTTTCTTGTGTATAGGACTCTCAGATGGTAGTAGACTCCTTTAAGTCCGGATTTGAACCTCCAGGAGACTTTCCATTTGAAGATTACAGTCAGCATATTTATAGAACCATTTCTGATGGGACTATCAGTGCATCCAAACAGGAAAGTGGGAAGGTGGATGCCAAAACCACAGTAGGAAAGGCCAAGGGCAAGTTGTGGCTCTTTGGAAAGAAGCCAAAGGTAAAAGTCATAAAATTCCTCTATGCTAATAATTTTGTTTTAGTTTGTCATTTAAAATGATGTAGATATTGAATGGATAATGGTTTACTATTAATAGAGAATAAATATTTTGATTTGAATGATTCAATTAACTTTTCACCTGGTAGAAACATAGAATTTTGTACCTTAATAGTAAAAATTATTTCTGGATTTAACATTTGACTGCCATATAAAAATGAGTAAAAATATTAAATAAGCTGTTAACATCTCTTAAAATTATATGCTTTTGAAATTTCATTTGTATGTAGTTTCAGTTCAAAGTTTTTCAGAATCATTATGATCTGACTCTAAGATCACAAAAATTGCAGTTCTCAGTTGGAATGAATGATTGACCACAGCAATAATAAAATGTCATATTAGGTCTTATAGATCATACTAATAAGGTTATTTTTATTATCCATGTGAATATTTAATGGGAAGGGCTCAATGCGTGTGTTATTTGAAGTGTAAAAAAATCTCTAGTTTACTAAGAGAATCTCTCTTAACCTCCTGTTGAAACCCATCTTTTGATGTGCTGTTTATTTTAGATAGATAAATTTAGCTCAGCAGGTGAGCAAATGGAATAGATGTGTGCTTAATCTTTTCAATTTAATGACTATAAAGTGTCATAATCAGTAGGAGAATAGATATGTACTTTTAATTTGATGTTCTGTATTAAAGTATACATGATTATTTTAATTCATTTTTCTGATCTTGACATACGAATGTAGATAAAATTTAACTCATTATAATATACCTGTAAATATCTGTAAAAGCACAATTATAATTAACTCAAGCTTTATTCATGCTTTTCATAATATTGTCCCATTGAGAAGTTGAGAGGTGAGACTTTTTTTAAAGTCAGATCAGAGTAGCTAGGAGAGCTTAGCAAAACAAGGAATACTGAAATTTTTTTTAAAAAAGAGGTGCAACAGGGATGAAATAGAAACAGTTTTGAGAGGAAAGCCACAACGTAATGAAATTATTTTGCCTATTTATGATAATCAGTTACAATTTTAATATTTTATTTTAATAGACATTGACTATTTAGATAACTTTAACTGTAGCTGCTACCTTTATCTCTGACAAGTATTATAGGTTAAGTGTAACTAACTAGGTGGTGCTAATATTCTAGAAATCAGAAGAGAATTTTTTTGTCTAGGTCACATTGCTCTCTCTAACCTTATAATTTGTATATACTCTATATTTTCAGTCTGTCAGCTTGTAAAAAGGTGATGAAGTGGTACATTTTTAAAAGTAAATTTGACTTTTTAAAATGACAGTTTTGGCAAAGCTATGTTAACTTTCTTATAATATTTTTATAGAAAACTTTATTTGAGATATATTTTGTAAAAAGTATGTTGCCAAAAATAGAATTTTCATTTAGGAAAAAAAGCTATGCACATTTGGCTTATTGATTCCTTTCTTTATTTCCATATTAGCCACAGTCCCCACCCTTAACCCCTACTAGTTTATTCACATCCAGTACTCCTAATGGGTCCCAGTTTCTCACATTCTCCATTGAGCCCGTGCATTATTGTATGAATGAAATAAAAACAGGGAAGCCCAGAATTCCTTCTTTCAGAAGTCTCAAAAGAGGGGTAAGTTTAATAATGGGTTAAAATGCATGATGGCCTATTGTGTGTGTACTGTGGCTTTTAATACTCTCCACCCTCATTATAAGGCTCTCTCCTATATATATGTAGTTTAAAACACGACAGAATTAAGTATAGCTGCCCTCAAGTTAAAAACAACTCCTCTTTATAACATTTGAAATGCTCACCCATAAAAGAATGGTATTATAAAGAGGGTGCTGGGTACCATCATATTAGCTATTTTTTTTGTTGTTGTTGTTTATGTGAAGTCATATGTCCGCCATTGTCTTGTAATGTATTTACATTTTTAAGACTTTCAGTAATTTGTCACTGGAGTTACTCATGTAATAATTTGTCACTAATGACCTCTGCGAATTTATAAAGTATTATTTTGTTGGCAAAAAAAATCAAGTTCTATTTTAATTTTAATTGCCCTACTTTCAGAAGCATAAAACACAATTTCCAATAGTTAAATAAAAAATCAAAGATAGGCATGTTAAATATCAAGATTGTAGATCAATTAAGATAATATATTAGAAAGTACTTTGTAAGTTGTAAAGCCTATAAAAATACTAGATAGTATTGAGTAATGGTTATATGGAATTTGTATTGAGTAATTGTTACAGGAAGTATTTTTTACCAAATATTTCCTTTTTTTTCCCAATAGGCTAGCCTTTGGCATTTACTTAAAACTAAAGATACTCTGCAAATGAAAAGTTTTAGAATAGTAAAAAGCAAATATTAAATGGTTTCTTAGCAACAACTGTTATACTACTGATAAATTAGTGTTACTTCATTATGTTAGTCTAATTTCTTTTATGATCTGATTTTAAGACCGTGTTTGTAATATTCATGGCTCATAATTTAGATACATTTATGAGATTTGTATGAGCATTTGTTTGGACATATAAAAAACATAGGTGTGATAACCCACCAATGAGAACTCAGAGTCTAGTAGTGTCATAAGAACTCTAATCATTAACAGCAATACACTCACTCTTGGACTCACTCTTCCTTGCAATCCCTCTCTCTTCCTTTCCTTTCCCTGCTTCTCCTCCCTTCCTCTCTCCCTCTGTTCCTTCTCTCCCTTTCATTTCTTTCTTCTTTTTCCTTCTCTGTCTAGCCTGTGTGTTTCTCACTGTTTGTAGCCCTTTCTATCTTCAAATTGCTTTAGTTGGGTTTCTCTTCTGGCCACATGTGGACAAGATACATTAATTTAGGGCAAGATTACATTATTATTTACATTTCCATTGAAATAGTATGACAAACAATTGGTATCAGTAGTGCAGCAGAAATATCTTAGTGTATTATGTTCTTTTTGGGACTTCCTTTTTTCCTATAATGACATGAACTTCTTTGCGTCTACCTTTTCTAATTCTGTATGTGAATGATATAGGTTAATTTCATGACACTTTGAAAAGTCCCTGTGAATGAGTCTGTATTATACCTACAAGCACCATAGGTGCCTGTTATCACTTTTCAAAGCTCTTATCACTTGTTTTAAAAGACTTTAAGAAATCATACATGGGATTTCTATTGCCTGAATAATAGAGTAGAATTAATTCCCATCTTTCTTCTCTTTGATGACTTAGACTTCATTAAATATTATGCTTTTTCATAAATAATGAGAAATTACAAATAGTAATTTCTAGTAGCCATATTTTTGTAATCACGTATGTGTCCTACATATCGAGTCTACCAGGCCCAGTTACAGTACCCTACACAGTATAGTCATAGAGGTATGAAGTAAATATAATTCTTTGAAAAAAAGTTTAGGCAGTTAGAACTGGGAGCCCTGGAGAGAGAAGCTTAAATATGTGCCATCTTCATTGTTGTTGAATAAATCTATCGGTAGAATTTTATAACCGTAGAACTTAAAAGTATCTGCGGGGTCATTATTTCTCGTATTTCCACATATTGCTTTAATTTAAAATATTAGTACATTTGGCGGGGGTGTGGGGGGCTAGTTCCAGAAGGCCAAAATGGTCCCACTTTTATTATTAGTTATCATGCCAAAGAAAAAAGCAGTATGCAAGATGGAAAATATGACAGACAAACCAACTAGAGATTGGAGAATAGAGCAGGAAGTAAAGTTTATTACCTTGGCATTGAGAAGTTTCTTTCTATTTTGATTGGTATTTGGTAGTTTACTAGATACTATTTCGAAATTATGTTTTCTTCCACTTAAGAATTTTCTCAATATAGAAAAAGAAGATAAGCTTTAAGAAGCCAGTTTATGTGTTTTTATATGGATTTCCATGTAAGTCCATTAAACTTACAAAGTCTTAAGGTTTCGTAAAGCTGATGAGTTGTACCATTCAAAGCAGAAACTCTTGTTTTGAGCTATATTTGTTACATCATTTTTCCTAAGTACCTGCTTTTGGCTTTTCTAAAAATCTATAATTTCTTTTTCTTTCATTCTTAAGAAAACCTATTGTATACAGTTTGCAGTATCTTTAAGGATATGAGAAATGTTATATTGGACCAGTGTTTTTGAATTTGATGGTGGTACTGGTAGACTTTCTCTGAGGGATGAGGGTTTATAATTTCCTTCTGTGACATCAAGATCTAACCTTAAATAGATATTTGGTGCACACCCAAACTTAACTACTTAATATAAAAATGAATAATTTTTACTCTATAACTACTTCATTGGAGCTTACTGGGTACTCCTTTTTTTTTTTTTTTTAGAAGTATATTTATCTAGCAGTATCAAGTCCATGTTTCCTTTTTAAATTATTCATGATATTATAGACTTCTAGAGTCATTTTTGTAAGCTTTTATTTATCCAGAATACAGTTCTCAGGATTTTCCTATCTTTAAATTAAATACACATAATAATTTGAATTGCCTGACTGATTTCCTCTTTAGGTCCCTTATGTATTTATTAAGATATAGTGGGTATGTGAAATTTTCTAGTTACAGGGATATGAAAATTGCATATGAGAGTATAGTATTTCTCTCTTGAACGTGAATTACTTAAAAAAAAGGACAAAATATATTTCTAATATTTTACAAAGAACTTTAGTTTTTAATATCCCCAAATCTAAGGTTAATGAACTGTGAATTTATTTTCTAATTGATAGTAAAACTAGGTTAGCTAAAAACTGAAGCATTTGATATTTCAGTTATAATTATATTATTGTTTTCTCTAAAACTATTAATATAGAAACTGAAAAAATAATTTGTATCACTTAGAAATTTAGCTGGTGGAGATTATCATAAAAGACAAATTCAAATGCTTTACCTATTTTGTTTCTTATCATCTGTATGATTTTGTTTTAATAATATTTATAGAAGACCATAAATATCTTTTTAAAATTTAAACCTTCTAATCTTCTTACCAGGAATTTTGTCATAACAAAATAAGTTTTGGTTTTTGTTCCCTGAAACTACTGACAGTCTAAAGAATGTTAAGCTTAATTTGGAAAGATAATGGATAGCGTATGTCATCTTTTCTTATCATCGTAACCATTAATATATATGGCCAGTTCATCAGAGATAAAGGGTAGATATTTTTGTCAGCTATTTATTAAAATCTATATTTTTTATGTGAAATTCTACCTGACATCTTCCATATTCTCTAAAACATCATGACTTAGAAAATAGGGACAAGTAAAAATTTTAGAGGCCGCTAAACAAATGAAATGGATATGAAGATGAACTTTGCAAAGCTCTACTGAGTATTATGGGTCACAATGTGTGTGTGAGTGTGTTTGTGTGCACACATGTGCATGTATACACGTGTGGATGGCAGACAGATGCAGTGCCAGTTGCAGAATCCTGGTAACTCATAGAATGTGGGTGATATATAAGTATGCATATATATATATTCACAATATGAGAGGACTCTGTGCTATGTCATTTCACATTTTCAGAAAGAATAAATTTTAACCAGTTTTCTAAAAATTGAAGTTATGTATTTTTAGTGTTGCTTTTCGAGCACATGGATTTCAGAATGAAAACTGAGAAATGGAAGCTATATCTTCAAAGCAAAATTCAACCCATATGTTTGTGTCCATTAGCAAATATGTATGGGAAACTTGAATCTGGGTGACTCATTATTATTTTGATAATAGTGTGTTTTTTAATGTGTCCATACATTAAAAATAGCACCTTAAAACTAAAGTAGAAATGTTACCCTTACTGACTCATAGTATATTTAAATTCAAAACAGTATTTTGAACTATAATAATTCAGATAATGGTGTTTTGTTTAATGCATTGGGAAAAGTATTCCATTCTTTAATACTACATCTAATATTTATTTTAAATGGCTAATATTAAATCTTTTATATTCACCTTTTCAAATATTAGTATTTTGAGAGTGAACAGCTATGTAAGTGAAATCCACTTATGTAAAAATTGTTTTTTAAAGAAGAAAATATGTGTTTACTGATAGAATGATTACTATTTACTTTTGCATTTCAGTTGCACTTGGAAAATATCTGCCCATTATCATCAGTGTATATTTTGTTTTGCAAGTAATTTACTTTCCCAAAAGTGTGGTTAAAATTGTTTTTCTGGCATAATTGTTTGGATTGTGAAATGTACATGATTTATTTTAATATTGTAAAAAAAAGAATAAGTTATTGCATCTTCTGTATTATGGTTTCATGTGAATAATATACCATTTCTTTCTGTTTTCCATTGAACTATTCAGTGGTCGGTGAAGATGGTAAGCCTTATGTGCTGATCTATATACTGTGCCAACATTAAATAATCACAAAACATTGTTTTGTTTAATTCAAAACAAAGTGGTAATGTACATCCCCACATGTTACCTTGTATGTCTTTTCTTTTTATAATTTAATCCATAGTCCAACACATGCCAGTACCTCTGATGTCATAAAATTTAATAATAATGTGGTTAACTGTAACTCATTAAGTTCTTAAATGTTATTGGGTGGAGTCTTTGTCATGTTACAGAGAATGAAATTATAGTTAAACATCATTTTAAAAGTTACATGGTAGAACAAAAGTTTATGTTTTTACAAAAGAAAAATTAAACAAAAATGATTTTTCTTAACACTCTTTAAAAAGATCATATAAGTTTGATTTGTAGTTTATCACAAGAATCATTAGATTTTCCAAAATGTAAGAAAGAAAGATTTCTTGCTAGTTTCATTAGAGAGTCAGTGCTTTCTTCTTGTCTACTAATGAATGGGAATAAAAGCACAAATAACTTAAATATCGTGTGTGTGTGCGCATGTGTGCTTGTGCATGTGTGTGATGTTCCTTTATACATATGTTTCAAACAAATTAATGGAACTGCATTGTGAAGACCTAATGTAAAAATTATTGGGTGCTTATGTAGTTTCTCATTTTTTGGAAAACAAATGAGTCTTTTTCAGACTATTGCAGTTTGGCCTGTTATGAATTCCCATGTAGTAGGAGAGGTTTTTAAATGTCTCAGAGTCTCCTTTACAGCTGTAGGAAATAGAGTGAGTTTAGTTCTCATATTCTATAAAGGAATATGTTATAATGTCAGAATGGGATATTAAAAATGCAAGTACCTAGCTATCTGCTGTTAATAAATTTGAGAACAAGTTCGATTAATGATAAGTGGAAATCTGGAGGATTTACTTATAGGTAATTGTGAGTTTATTACAATACTATCAAAAAAACAATATTGAAATGTGTTTTTTCATTTCATTAAATTTAAAAATATAAATAAGAAAGTTTTACTTTTGGTACAATATAATAGTTTTCAAACTATATATACCTGTACCCCAAATTAGATTAAATCTGACAACTTACGTTGATAATTGACCACTAAATTTAAAGGCACCTTGTAGGAAATTTTGCCATTTGTTTATTTAGGTCTGATTTGGGTGATTGACAGATTTTTATTTCTGGTGACTGGTAGATTAAAATGCAAAAGCCACTTAGAAAAGATGTCCTCCTTTTTTTTTGTAGACAGGCTTGTTGAATGTCCATAATGTTCAGGCCATTTGTAAAAAATTTTCTTACGAATTAAATGTTACATTTGATCATGGCTTACCTGAAAAGTGAGTTTTATCTTTTTTAAAAGCAAGGGAAGCACTCGTATAGATGGTGAAATAAAGCTATTTAGATGTGTTATAGGAGTCAGTGGTTCAAGGAGCAAGGATGCATTTGTTGTGGGAGCTCACTTCAGCAACACTTAAAAAATTGAATTGCATATTCTCAAAATCCCCATTTTAAAGAGAAAAATGAAGAATAATAATTTTCAACAATTTTTGAGTATGTAAAATCTTACATAAATATGGGCTCATGTTAAATGGAATCAATAGTTGCTAACATTGGTCTGGTTGTATATATAATCTCTAAGAAGATAACTACGGTAACAATGACATGATTAACATTTAAGAGGAGAAAGACATCATTTGAATCAGAAGTTACATCTAAATACTAGAACTGTTTCTTAAATGATATAGTTTCTTGAATATCAAAACATTAAAAAATTTTTAGACATTAAGCATCCTTCCTAAATAAGGATTTTATCTTTCTTTGGATTATATCTTTATTTCAAGAACAACTGAGGTATGCTATTTGGTTGTACAAAGGATAATTGAAAATAAATTCCTTATTGGAATGTAATTTCTACTTACATTTCACTTGGTGGATAGTTCTACCTTTTATTTTTTAATGATCAAGTATGTTTCGGTTCTAATGAATGGTTTAATAAATATAATCATTCAAAGACTGTGTAATATTAAAATATTTTTCATTAGTTATATTGCCTTTATGAGGTAAGTTGTTTAACTCAGTTATATAAACTTTTCATATTTTCAGTCTGAACATTTGTAATATCCCAAGTATCACGGCAATAGATTTGATTTGGGAATGTGGTGCAGTATTTTATTTAAAAAATACTTTGTATAAGTGAGAAATGTTACATGTTTCCATTTCATTGTTATTGCTGTAAGAAGGTTCATCTGTATTTATTTTAACTCTGCCGAGACCTGAATATAATGTTATACTGGTAATTACCAATTATCTGTATCTGCTGATATTTTTACCTATTCTATTTCATGATTATTTAAAAAGTGACTGGCATCTGAGCTCTTTCTTCAATACTATTGTTTTAATACACATACATATCTATGTAGATTTCTTTTTCTTAAAAGGAGGTGTTTGGGGCTAATTTGAAATTAAACTTAAAATTGATATACTTACTTTATAGTGAGTATATTTTAGAAATAAAATTTCACGAAAATATCTTTTATAATGATTTAGATTCTCTTTTCAGGGCCCAGCACTAGAAGATTTCAGTCATCTGCCACCAGAACAGAGACGTAAAAAACTACAGCAGCGCATCGATGAACTTAACAGAGAACTACAAAAAGAATCAGACCAAAAGTATTTTCCCATTAAGTTCTGTCTGCCATCATTATTCCTTTCAGAGTCTACTTTGAATGATATGTTTAAATGTGATGTATAAAAGGCTTAAAAATTATACATCCTAATTGAAATATCTTTTGAGGGAAAAGTACAGTCCTAAACTTAGGAAAATTGTGCTCTGTCATATTTTTAAAATGAAATGTTAGAGTTTCTTAGGTTGCAGATTACTTATTGGATGCTAATAGTATATATTTATGCCTTCCATAAATTTTCAAAATATTGATGATTATCAAGGGTAGTTTCACCAACACTAACTACCTCTTATATTTTGATAAATTTTTATTTTGCTTTAAGATATAAATTGAGCTCAATAGAAATCTGAGGCTATAATTATTTTGTTTGCAGCAAGAATGTTGGAAAACAGTGTTTGATTACTTACAGCTTCGGATTCATTCGTAGCTTTAATTTTTTTTCAATTTTATTAAAAGTTTCTTGTAGTTCAGTTTTGTTTTAATGAATATAGAGATTTATATATGATGAATAAAGGGTTATTACAGTGGATTGGTAACTTACTATCTGCTATTACACTGAAGATAAAATTGGAGCTTAAACTCTGACATGAGTGATTGAAGAGATTCATACTTGAGAATGATCTGAAGATAGGTGAAGTCAGATCTGAAGATCTGAAGATATTAAAATAGTCAATTTTGTCTCAATAAAACTGGAAAAAACAAAGCATTAAGAGATCACCCTTAAAAAGGAGAACTGTAGGATGAGATGAGAAGAAATTTCTGTCATTTTATGTAACACATTTAAAGGATAAACAGAAGAGAAGGAACCAGTGAGGGAAATAATGGGACAGAGGTGAAGGGAAGGGAAAAGAAAATGTAACCTCCAGGAAATCAAGAAAGAAAAGAGTATTAAGGAGTGTTAGTAATGTCAGATGTTAGAGCCAAGGAGAGCTAATTGAGGCATATATAGTGATATAATAGTGATATGGTAATAGTGATATGATTAGAGAAGTGAAGAGGATGAATGACTTGAATTTAGAGGGAGAGGGGCAAGTTAAAGATGGTATAGATGAGTGGGAGGAGGATGATGCTGTGAACTAAGATAAGGAACACCAGTGGAATAATGTGCCTGGATGAGAATATGATGAGTTTGATTTGGGACATGATGAGTTTAACAATATTGAGGAATATTCTTTCAGTCCTTGATTAAATATATATAATCTCATTTAGGAAGCAAGAAATGAGAAATGAAATCATTTTTTTTAAATTCTAAATGTTTTAAAAGACTGCCTCCATAAATTACTAACTATATACATGATCAGCTTCGTGCAGATTATTTTCAATCAGGTAATGTTTGATTAAAGTTAAAGAGATATGACTTTTACGATTAGGCTGCATGTGAGTCCCCAGAATCAAATGAAACTCTTTTATCTGGGAACATGTAAAGTAAATGTTTAATTTTATGTCTTCCTGCTCATTTTCAGAGAAGCACTCAACAAGATGAAAGATGTATATGAGAAAAATCCACAAATGGGGGACCCAGGGAGTTTGCAGCCTAAATTAGCAGAGACCATGAATAACATTGACCGCCTGCGAATGGAAATCCACAAGAATGAGGTAGATTTGTTATTTAGCAGTTGTCTAAGATAAGTTCATTTTTATAAACTTCATTATGATAGATTGGGTTTTACTAGAATTATCTTCAAATATTTTATTTTAGAGTTTATGATCTAAAAGTAAGGTATCATTATGATCTAAAAGTAAGGTATCATAATCTTTCTTTTTTTTTTCTGTTTCTTTTTCTTTTGGCTGAGTTGCGTCTTTGTTGCTGCGCGAGGGTTTTCTCTAGTTGTGGTGCGTGGGGGATACTCTTTGTTGCCGTGCGTGGGCTTCTCATTGCGGTGGCTTCTCTTTCTGCGGAGCACGGGCTGTAGGCGCAGACTTCAGTAGTTACAGCATGCGCGCTCAGTAGTTGCAGCATGCGGGCCCTAGAGCACATAGGCTTCAGTAATTGCAGCGCGTTGGCTCAGTAGTTGCAACGTGCAGGTTCTAGGGCACATGGGCTTCAGTAGTTGTGGCGTGCGGGCTCAGTAGTTGTGGCTCATGGGCTCTAGAGTGCAGGATCAGTAGTTGTGGTGCATGGGCTTAGTTGCTCTGTGGCATGTGGGCTCTTCATGGACCAGGGATCGAACCTGTGTCCCCTGCATTGGCAGGTCGCTTCTTAACCACTGCGCCACCAGGGAAGTTCAGGTATCATAATCTTTAGAATTAATCCCTCGTTGAAGTTTTTTACCTTATTTAAAACTTTATGTAAAACTAAACGTACTATGTTTTTAATCAGCTATCAAGTTGATCATTGACCAAATTGAAATAAAGGTTTCCCTTCTCTAAGAATTACATAATTATAAAGACCCAAAGCACATTTTAAATGTAGAATATTTTATGAGCTTTAAAATATGTACATTGGGCTTCCTTGGTGGTGCAGTGGTTAAGAATCCGCCTGCCAATGAGGGGGACACAGGTTCGAGTCCTGGTCCGGGAAGATCCCACATGCCTCAGAGCAGCTAAGCCTGTGTGCCACAACTACTGAGGCTGCGCTCTAGAGCCCGTGAGCCACAAGTACTGAAGCCCACGCGCCTAGAGCCTGTGCTCCGCAACAAAAGAAGCCACCGCAATGAGAAGCCCGCACACCACAACGAAGAGTAGCCCCCACTCGCTGCAACTAGAGAAAGCCCACGTGCAGCAACGAAGACCCAACACAGCCAAAAATAGAAAATAAAACAAAAAGTAAATAAATTAAAATATATATATATATATTTATTGAGCTCAGTTTTGTTTTTTCCCTAAGGCTTGGCTGTCTGAAGTTGAAGGCAAAACAGGTGGAAGAGGAGACAGAAGACATAGCAGTGACATAAATCACCTTGTAACACAGGGACGAGAAAGGTTATTTTTTGCATTTTATTTGTATTTCCTCCTTTTACCCCAAACTTTTCTCACTGTTTTGTCCTAAACTTCATACAGTTCTCTTTTTTCCTACAAGTTTGGCTTTTAATAACTCAATCTTTGAACCTAAATAATTTTCTGTTTCTTTATAATAGCTACAGGTGAAGTATGAAATTTCATATTGCTGCTCAGTTCTAGTTTGTAATGCGTCTACAAACAGAGAGGTAGGAACTTGGAAAATTCTGGGAGCTGTGGTCTAGAGGCATAAGCTCCCCAGGCCTGGGAAGATTGCCTTTAGGTTTAGATGGAGTTGGGTAGCTTATGCCGAAGAAAAATTTAACTGTCAAATTACTCAGAGTTTTGTGAAGGAAAAAAATTCATATTGTTAAATTGGATCAGAGATTCCAAAAGGCATTTTACTAAATTTCCATGTTTTCATACCATTTGTGACATTCTCTCCCTTTGGGTAAATGGTTTTTTTCCCCCTCATAATAAAATCCAACAAATTTGGATTCACCTTAGAGAACAATTTGAGAGATCTAGTATCAAATATTGGTTTACTACCTAATTACATTGTAATTTGAGCAAATTCATTTTTTAAAAAATTTTATTGGATTATAGTTGATTTACAGTGTGTTTCAGGTGTACAGCAAAGTGATTCAGTTATACATATACATATATTCATTCTCAGATTTTTTTCTCATATAGGTTATCACAGAATATTGAATAGAGTCCTCTGTGCTACATAGTGGGTCTTTGTTGGTTATCTTTCTTATATATAGTAGTGTGTGTATGTTAATCCCAAGATCCTGATTTATCCCTCCCCTCCACATTTAGCAGTTCATTTTTAATGCTCCCTGAGTCTCAGCTTCCTAAAATATAAAATAAAGATTAAAATACCTGTCATACAGGGTTATTAGTAATGAATGAAATAATGTAGGGGTCCCCAACTGCAGGGGTGGCGCACAGCAGGAGGTGAGCGGCGGGTGGGCTGGTGAGTGATGCTTCATCTGCCACCCCCATCACTCTCATTACCACCTGAACCATCCCGTCCCCCCACGCCCACCCCGGTCCCTGGATAAATTGTCTTCCACGAAACCGGTCCCTGGTGCCAAAAAGGTTGGGGACCACTGAAATAACGTACATAAAGCGCCTACTAGTAAAATACCTGTGCTAGTATGTGCTTGACAGATGTTAATTTCTCCTTCTCTTCCTCTCCATTATCACTTTTTGAAAGAGTATATATCCTTAATATATCAAGAGATAGTCACAAATACACTGGTTTTTGTTATTAGGTAAACCCTAGATTAAAATAACCTAGTCCGTCTGGTTTGTGTTATTAAGAACTTGGCTTCCAGGCATACTGAAAGTACTGCTAAATCTCATCATGCAAATTATGAAAATATTATTCAGTCATTTGATTCTTTAGCAAAATCAACATTTTTTCTCTTTTTGAAGTAAAAATTTACAGAAAAATGCCTTTGGATTACCTGCTTTCTGGGATTTTCTTAGTTACTAACTTTCCTCTTAACGTGATTAATTGGAAATTAATTTTGCTAGGAGTCTTTTGGTTTTCAGTGACAGGATGAATACTCTACCCATACTGGCTTAAACTGAAAAGGGATTTTATTGGCTGACTTCAGGGAGAGCTTGATCTAGGAACTCAGATGATATCTTCAGTACTCCATTTCTCTCCACCTTCCAGTTTTGCCTTACACTGTGTTGGCTTCATTTAAAGGCTCTACATGGTGATCTTCCAAAGCTCTTAAGCTCATATTTCTCCAGGTTCACGTCCAGTGGAAAAGGAAGGGAGCTTCTCTGAACAGTCCCAAGCAAAAGTCTTTGTGTATCTCTCATATCTTACTGGGTTACACGCCTACTAGTGAACTATTCACTCTGGTCATACAAGTTCTGTGCTAAGATGGACCCTCTGGAACCAGGACAGAGCAACTGTACCTGAAGCCTGTGAACTGAACATGGGTCTGGATGGGTTCCCTAAGAAATTTTAGGGTTTTCTTGAAAAAAGAGGGGGTGATGAATCCAGGATGATAAAAACCAAATGTCCATGACATTTTTCCATTTTATCTCTGGACCCAGTGATAATGAGACATACTCACTGAATACATGTTATGTGCCTAGAACATTGTAATCTTTTAATTTTTAATTTCAGGAAATTCAACAAAAGCATTTTGAATTAGAAGCCACACACACACACACACACACACACACACACACACACATTTCAACATTTAAGAAAATGAAGACTTAATTTGGAACTGTGTCATGGTTATTTGATTCTCTGAATTGATCCTGAGGAGATCAACTTGTAGGTAATATAAAAAGTTCCCATGTACTTGATTAGAGATAATTTTGTTTCATAGCCCTGAGGGAAGCTATACTGATGATGCAAACCAAGAAGTCCGTGGGCCACCCCAACAGCATGGTCACCACAGTGAGTTTGATGATGAGTTTGAAGATGACGATCCCTTGCCTGCTATTGGACACTGCAAAGCTATCTACCCTTTCGATGGTATGATTTTCTTAATACACTGTAATTGATAAAATTGGTTCCTTAAAGTCTACATACAGAGTCATGCACTGTAGTGTCCTTATAGCTAAATAAGAAAACTGTAAGTGGCAGAAAATTATAATCCCAGTTCATTAGTGTGAATATTTTTGTTTTAACTACATTGCAGGTATAGAGATTTTTCTTCCGTACATGACATTGAAAGAAAATTACCTATGTTATCAGCATCCTAATAAAGATTATTATTTAATTATCAACTTTGGTTGATACAGAATTTCCCAACTTTGATGTACTCATCAAAGTTGAAGCCGCTTGAGCATGTAGCTCAACCCAGAAAGTGGAAGGCTGGTAAATATCACTTCAGGCTCTTCCTTGTAACTTGCTAACATTGAGCGGCAAGTACTAGGCAAATGGCATAGCTGAGTGCCACCACCATATGCTGACCCTGTAGGCCATATTTTCAGGTGAGGGAAGGAGGAAACGTGGTAGCTTCTGACTATGCCATCCTTCCCCCTGTGATAGTTGGAGAAGAGACTCTATAAGGGGAGGAAGGCATTGTGGCCCTCTCTTACAGGTTTTTAGTTACCCTTCCCTCTCTTGGACTTTGAAAAATCGTTTTCTTCATTTCACAGAGGAGCAGAGTAACACCCTTACAAAGAAGTTGTTATAAAATGGTGTATGAATTTAAGGCCCTTCCCTACCCATCCATTGTTTTGGTTTTTAAATTGAGTAGTTTTTAGTTGCTGCTCATTCTGAGAAAATAGTATTAAATAAGATCTTGCTATAATTTGCTACAGAGAGTAAGGGAAGGATTTAGTGTATGTTAAACAAATATTCATTTGTGAAAACTGTTAGTGCTAAGTAGGTTGGGAATGGTTGAGGGATTGGGAAGAAAGAGAGGCCTGAGGCTGATGAAGTTTTGAAGGAAGTTTGTGGCTATGATCATTCTGCTTCTACCATCACCAGAGATGGACCTGTATTTTTCTCTGCTCTCTCCTCAAATTATATTCTTTCCTTCTTTCTTCCAACCCTCTCACTGTCTTGTTACTATTTTGAACTTCATGAATTTTCTAGATAACAGTGCCACTCAGATTTGGGGAAGGACTTGGAGTAGTGAAATAGGAGTTAGCATACCCTGTCAAATCATACAGTGTTGTTGTAGCTCAGATACATCTGTTACATGGTGCTGCTGTTAATGCCAGCCTCACGGGTTATTGTGCAGTTCAAATGAGGTAAGTATATGAAACTGTTGGGTAAGCTACAAAGCATCATAGAGGTGTTGGTAATGAGAGTCAGTGGGCTCATAGTTCTATTACATTGAAATCTAGTAGGGTTCCACGTTGGTTTTTGTTGTATTTGTAACTTTTATTCAAAATTATTGCTATACTTAAATTATGCTTGTGCTCATTTAGGACATAATGAAGGTACTCTGGCAATGAAAGAAGGTGAAGTTCTATACATTATTGAGGAGGACAAGGGTGATGGATGGACAAGAGCTCGGAGACAGAATGGTGAAGAAGGCTACGTTCCCACATCATACATAGATGTAACTCTAGAGAAAAACAGTAAAGGTGCAGTAACTTACATCTAAACTAACCCGGCAGCTTTGTAACATGTGTGACATAGGAATGATAACAAAATGAAAACACAGTCAATGGGTGGGAAAACATAAGAAAGCTGAAAGGGCATCCAAGATTTATTGTTCACTGTGTGAGCTGAGTGTAGGCTCGATCTTAGAGATGTGACTATTACAAGAAACTGTTCTCATGACGCTTTACCATTTGAGTGATGTTGGTGTGAAGCTTAATTGATGCCTTTTGCTTTATGTCCTGCTTAAGTCTGTGTGAAGGATTTGTGTTTTTCTGCCTTATAAATCATAAAATTTAATCTACTGGGCAGGAATCCATCCTGTAGAGGGGTAGGGATAGAAAGCTCCCTACCCCTCTACACTTTGCTTCAGGAAACACAGTGATTGTAGTGAACTCAAGTAAAACTGCTCTGAAATGCTTGCTATAAAAAGCTGATGCCCAAAAGAGTGGTTTGGTCTAGGGGTTTGAAATTGTAGCTACAGTTTCTAGGAAAAATGTAATAATAGTTGGCTAATTGGATAAAATACAAATGTAATCATTTTCATTTTTGTCCTTATTCTCAACTTCAGTTTCCTAAAGGAAGAAAACAGGCACCTATCACATAATCTGTTTTAGTACTAGGCTAATCAAGAGACGTGCAAAATAAACAGGCCTGGTCTTGCTCTTTAAGTGAATAAAATGGCTTTCTTTTGAGACCCAAGGATATTTTCAGGTTTTCTAGTAATTTTCAATAATGTACAAGCTTTCTTCTAAATTAATGCTTGTATTTTTCATCTTTAAATGTCTTTTGAGAAATACCACTTTAGTGATACTAGCATTTAGCAATTATACATAGGAAAGTGGATTCTAAATAAACTAAGAGGAAATCTTGCATGGAGGAGAAGTACTGGCAAATTTTGCTTGAAAGAAAAAATGACTTTTTTCACTAACTGGGTTGGAGGAATATATCTCTGCCATCACTGAGGGCATTTCCTCATTTTAGCTGAATCGTCAATTATTAGGAGTTTTTTTTCCAATTTTAATAAGCATTTGTTGGAAACACTGTATAATCAAGACATTGATAGCAGTGCTAGTTGTGTAGGGGAGTAAAGTGAGGAAGCAATTAAGAGACTGGTCCTTAATTTTGCTCATGTTCCAACATGTTTTGGTGTTTTTAATAGCTGACTATAGCTGACTATAAAATGATTTTAGAGACATTTGGGATGGACACTTTAAACTGAACACTCCTTTTGGTCTTACCAAAGGTCTTCAGTAATTGTTCTTTTCTTTTTCCTCCTGGACTGCAGGTTCCTGAAGAGGGTTTCTGAGGAAATGGGCAAGATGTTGAAGGAGGTTACATGCAGCTGCTTTTGGGGGGAGGGTATTAGAGTTGTCAGGCTCAGAGAGAGTGAGAGAAGCAAGTTGCATGAGTGCATGCAGACATGATTATTTTTTTACTAACTTCATTAGCATTTCCGTACATTGTTTAAAAAAATCATTGTAATACCAACCCTTAAACTTGTCAATTACAGTTATTCACATAAAGGAAAAAAGCCAACAATGGCTAACCTTTTTTTTTTCCATTTATTTTACTGATATCCAAATCGGAAAGAATGCAGAGCTGTCCTTAAGTTTGTCATATCTGACTGTCCCAACAGGACTGTCCATTGCAGCTCTTTTAATTGGCTTTTAGACCCATTGTCTGTTAGAATCCTTGCCATTTTTGACTGTCCCAACAGGACTGTCCATCGCAGCTCTGTTTAATTGGCTTTTAGACCCATTGTCTGTTAGAATCCTTGCCATTTGTCAGTGTCTGCCTGCGTCACCTCTGTGCTTGCTTAACATCCTGTTGCATGTCTAGAGTGATCGGGTTTAGATTTTTCAGGCATGTCTTTATAATCCCTTGTTCTTGTCAAAACCTTTGTTTTGTTTTACATTTGTAGTGCAAATCACTTTGTCAAACATCTCCAGCACTAATGTGCCCATCCTAGTATTTGTGTACGCTGCTATAACTTCCCCACTGCAAAACATTCCAGTTTTGGCATTATGAAGAAGCAGTTTGTGAACCTGAAGTATTTATGATCAGAAGAAAAAACATCTCTGCTCTAGCCTACAGCCCAGCTGAAAGAACTCTTTGAAACATGATACATCTTCAGCACCTCAGTCTGGGAAGAATCTATAGTCAGCACTGAAATCCTGGCATAATAAACACAGAAGATACTCACCACCTCAAGACAAAGGACTGTTGTCAGAAGTCAGCTGCTTCCATTCAAACGCTGCCTTAAACTAGAGTGCCTAAATCTGCTGATTGCCAACACTACCACTACAGTATCCCACAAAGGGCTTTATGTGTCAGCTCAGTGCGACCTCCATTGACTCGGCAGTGCTGCTATAGCTGCCGATACAACCTCGGTAGGTGGCTTTTAGAGCTCTACCATGTTTGTTGGTGCATCTTCAAATTTACGCATCAAACTAAAGACATGTCTGAGTCCATTTTACTTAGTGTTTTTATGAGAAGTTTTATGGACCTCCCTCCCATTGTCTTTCAATTTGGGGTTACTGTTTTCTCACTTAATTATTACAATGATAGTCTGTTTCCAAGTGATGATTTTATTTGAACCACATACAATTTAGTGAAACTTTGTAATGATCTATGTGCACTTTTCCTTGTAAAATGGGAGTTTCTGTATGTTTATACTTGTAAATATAATTGTCATCAGTGCCCCTATGCTCATGTTGCTCATGTTGTCCTCCCTCGCATTTGTGATTCTGTTAATGACTTGTATCTTAACTAATTTCTTAGTGGCATTTAATGGGGAGGTGGGTGGGGGTGGGGGGATATTTGTAACATGGAAGCTTCATTAATTTGGTTCTTTACTGTTTTGAAGGAAGAAAGAACGTGAAATGGTCTGTGTATTGTTGGATTTCAAGCGATATTTTAGAAACTGTGTGACTGCTTTAATAATTTTTCCCAGTGTTATTTGAATCGTACTACCAGTTATACTAAAGCTGAATGACAATTGTGTGAAAGTCGATGCCTTCGTAAGATCAAGTACTCCCATTACACAGCTGACATGATAGTGTATTACCTTTAAGGCTAGTAAACTATGAAGTTTTAGATTTAAATCTCGTTACAGGGTTATTTATATAAAGTGACATTATTCAGTACTGACAGACTACATAAAGTAGTTTTCAGATCCAGTGCTATTTTTATTTTAAAGGTTAGCAATGAAGAGGAAACCTGAGCTGGCTGTGTTTGTCTTCTGTACAAAGCCTGAGGTGCTTGTGCTTTTTGGCAACAGCCACAGAGGGCAAAGTTTAAGGCTTTCTTGTGAGGACTAACTGTTCTTTTCAAGCTACTGTTTGTTTTTCTTAAAGCAGGATTTGCTTCCGTAGGAGGCAAGTTCCCTCACGTGGAATAGTGCAACCTGTGTATGGGTTATTACAATAGGAAAGACATTTGTACTTGCACAGTTTAAATCATTCTTAAATTTGAATATGTGAATTGTCCAAAAGAAGTCTTTAATTTTTTCAGTAATTTTTACTCTTTTTGTGCACATGTTGATTTCTTAATGTAAATGCTTTGTTTAAGATAGTGTTCTCTGTTGAGAATATTTTCATGGAATAAAGTAATCTTTTCATGGTCAGTTAAGGTGTATAGTATTATCTCTTACTGCTGTGTGAACTAAAGAGATATAATGGTTTTGTTCTTGAATATGCTAAGTTCCAGGTAATACAAAGTAGATGACCAGGTTCCACAAATGGAAGCATCTGTGTTGGGCAACAATTTTTGTAAAGCAGTTTTGAAAATTTTATTCTAGTTTTAGTTTCTCTCAAGCTTTCTTAAAGGAAAAAGAAGTTAACTTTCTTTACAGTGAATTTAAGTTAAGGTAATAATTTGTATATTTTAATCTTTGTTCTACAGTAGCTATGTTACACAGACTTTGCTTTTACACCATCTTAGCCTCTGCATCCATAGGAACTTTCCCTATACTACATAGATTGATCTAGCCTCAGGTTGGTCAGCATTTCCCGTGCTTCTGCTTGAGTTCCTGATCAGTCAGAGAGAGCACCTGTGTCTTCATCGCATTTCAAAACATGGAAAGAGAATATTTGCCACAATTATTGTCACATCAGTGATTTCAGGAAGTCTTAGTTTCAGAAGATTAACCTTTTTAAAAGAGCAAATCTGAAACTATGACTAGTAACTTCTAGAAACCCTAAAAGGGAATAAAACTCAGGGTTTTATTCTGAACAATGAAAGGTTGCAACTGTTGAGATGAAAACTTAGAGATCCACGCCAAGCTTGGAAGTAGGGACACACAAAACAAAACAGCAGGAAAACAGTGTCAACCAAAAAACTCAACAATGAAAAGGACTTTTACTGTCTGAACCAAGATCAGGGAAGTCAAATCGTACTTGGTAGAGAAAGATAACATCCTCATAACAGTATTAAGGAAACAGTGAAAGGAAAAGGATCTTCAGGCTTGTTGAAAAGAATAGGTTTTTTTTGTGAAGAACGTATTAGTGCAGGTGAAAAAAATACTAAAAAAACCCACCAAGCCTATTTCAATGAGCTCATATACCTGGGATCAAATATATTCCTGAGTATAGCCACTGTCTGTAATCTAAGAAACTATGGAAAATATAAGAGATGCCAAAAGATAGGGGGATGGGAAAATACACATTTAAAAAAAAATTTGTTTTATGGTAATGTGGTTGATTTACAATGTTGCATTAATTTCTCCTGTACAGCACAGTGATTCAGTTATATGTATATATATACATTGTTTTAAAAATTCTTTTCCATTATGGTTTATCACAGGATATTGAATATAGTTCCCTGTGCTATGCAGTAGGACCCTGTTGTTTATCCATTCTGTAAGTTTGCATCTGCTAATCCCAAACTCCCAGTCCATCCTTCCTTCACCCCCCTCTTCCTTTGGCAACACAAGTCTGTTCTCTGTGTCTCTGAGTCTGTTTCATAGATAATAAGTTCATTTGTGTCATATTTTAGGTTCCATATGTAAGTGATATATGGTATTTGTCTTTCTCTTTCTGACTTCACTTAGTATGATAATCTCTAGGTCCATCCATGTTGCTGCAAATGGCATTATTTCAGTTTTTTATGACTGAGTATTATTCCATTTGTATAGATGTACATCTTCTTTATTCCTCTGTTGATGGACATTTAGGTTGCTTCCATGTCTTGGCTGTTGTGAATAGTGCTGCTATGAACATAGGGGTGCATGTATCTTTTTGAATTATAGTTTTATCTGGATATATGCCCAGAAGTGAGATTGCTGGATCATATGGCAACTCTATTTTTAGTTTGTTGAGGGACTGCCATACTATTCTCCATAGTGGCTGCATCAATTTATGTTCCCACCAACAACGTAGGAGGCTTCCCTTTTCTCCACACCCTCTCCAGCATTTGTTATTTGTAGATTTTTTAAAAAAAATTATGGCTGTTTTGATGGGTGTGAGGTGGTACCTCATTGTAGTTTTGATTTGCATTTAATAATTAGTGATGCTGAGCATCTTTTCATGTGCCTGTTGGCCACCTGTATGTCTTTGGAGAAATGTCTATTTAGGCCTTCTGCCCATTGGAAAATATAGATTTTGAAGAGTAAGTTCTGGGAAGTTTGACAACTCTTAAAAGTGCTAGATAATTTTGTCAGCATTTAAGAGAAAATGTAATGGGCAACTGACCTAGGTCCTAAGAATAAGTCATGTCTAGTTAGCCTCATTCCTTTCTTTAGATACAAACGGGAAATTCTACAGACGTAATTGTCCTGATTTCAGCACAATTTCAGTAATTGACAAGATTTCATACTCATTTTTATAAGATTGTGAGAGCATTGTTGTAGAGAGTAGGAGCTTGCAACAAGCTGATTTGGTAGACCCGAAATGTCACCTCTGAGGAGAACTTCTTGTAGAAAACATATGTATATTATGAACCATTGTAAAATAAACATAAATCTGTCAACTCAAGAAATAGAAAATTATCCTCTCCATCTCCTTCAAAGATAACCATTATCCTGAGTTTTATGTTTATTGTTTTTTCTTCATTTTTATCACATGGATATCTTTTTCTAAACCTGATGAGCTTTCCATGTTTTTGAGCTCTGTAAAGATGGTTTTATACTCTGTTATGAGCAGGGCTCATATTCAGCCAGTGCACACTGATATAGCCACAGTTAATGCTGTAGAAATATTTCCTTACTGGTGGGTAAAAAATAATTCTGAAAAGTAGTAAAACTGTAGTTAGTTGTATAAGTTTCACTACATGTGGTGTATCTCAGAAATCACACATGACACTGATGCATTTCTGGTTTGAGCACTGGGGACAAAGTCAAAGGGCTTACTGTAGATATACTATTATTTCAGGTGTTGGGGAATCTTCTTGGTTTCATAAACCCTTGGTTTCGTAAGCCCTTTGTAAGCCCTGGACAACTAAGCTGAGGAAGACCTCCTCTGTTCCTCCTCCAAAGAAATGCCTCATCTTGCTCAAGGGGAGGAGACACATCGAAGCTCTGGTAGCAGCTGGGGAGACTGGAAGGGAGTGTGGGTAGACACTGGTGTTTGGGGACATCGCCCCTTGTGGTGCAGTAATGCCCCTTTAGATTTTTTTTTTTTTTAACATTTTGTTTTATTTGGCAACTTATTTTGTGGTGGAGGGTAGCCTGCCTTGTTCATTGAAGAGGTATGAGGAGAGGGAAACTACCAGCCTTTGTTTAATACCCAGAAGAGTATGCTAAGTGACATCACAACTGCTGCTCCCCTGGCTGGTCTCAGACAGGAGTATCACAGTGTCCACTCTCTTAACCTCTAAACGTTCAACTTTACTCTCACTTGCCTGGGCAGACCAAACTGCTTGGTCTCAGGGCCTGCAGAAGCCCCAGTAGACTGGCTCAGTTTATTTTTATTCTCCCCGCTTTCTCCTTCTGCCTTTGTCCTAAATTATGACTGGCACCACCCAGCCATTGCTTATTTCTTAGTCGGCCAATGTGGGGGACACAGCCTTGGGTGTGGAATGAGACAGACATAAAACACAAGCTCCCAGTTGTGGCAACCAGGATCATCAATCCACACCCAACTTGCTCCCTCTTCCTCACATTCTCTACTCTCTTTCCTCTAGCGGGGTGCTCCTGCCACTGTCTCTTGGCATACAGCCTGCATCCAGATGGTACTATTCTGTCCGATGAGATGAGGATCAGCTGCATGTCCTCTCTCTCCAGGTGCCAGACAACACATTAGTAAGTTAATAACTAGCAACTGAAACAGGGAAGTCATTGGAAGAGTTTGCAGCCCTGTGTTAAATCATGGAGGCATTGATCAGCTGATGGCAGCCATGTCGAGCAAAAAATTATACAAACTCAACTATTTAATCAAATTATTTGGAAGTTATTAGTGATTGATGAATTATGCCACTTTCATCACTTGATAAACAGTGTTATGTAGTTTAAAGAATAAAGGGGATTATTTTACTTGATTTGCACATTGATTTGTACATTAATTCATGATTTATGTATTATTAATATCCCACTTGTTAAATATTTTGCATATTGCATGGTATCTTCTGAGAGTTGCTTTTTTCACTCAACAGTATTCTAAGATTTATCCATGTTTATGCATAGTTCATTTTACTGCGTATAGTATTCCATTATATACATATACAGAATTTATCCATTCTCCTGTTGATAGGCATTTGGGCTATTTCCTGAATTTTGCTAGTATGAACAATGCTCTTATGCACATCCATGTGCATGTTTACTGATACAAGAGTTTCTCTAAGATCTATACCTAGGAGAGGAATTGCTAAGTTATGGGTTATATTTATCTTAAATTTAAAACAGTAATGCCGCATTTTCCCCTTAAAGTGATTATAACATTTTTACATACCTACAAGTTGTGTATAAGGGTTATTTATTCTCCATATCCTGACCAACAATTTAGGAGTAAGACTTTAAAATTTTTTTTCTTTTTTTTTTACAGTTCAATGGATGTAAAATAGCATTTCATTATAATCTTAATTTGCTTTTTCCTGACTATTGATGAAGTTGAACATCTTGTCATATTTACCATTTGTGTTTCCTCTTCTGTGAAAAGCCTGTTTATATCTTTTGCCCATTTTATTCTTTGGTTGGTGTCTTTCCGTATATATTCATGGGAGTTCTTTATGTATTAAAGATGCTAATAGTATTAGTTATCTCTTGCTGTGTAACATAGCTGGTGACTCTGGCTCAGAGTTTCTCAGGAGGTTGCAGTCAAGGTGTTGGCCAGGATTGCAATCATTTCAAAGCTTTGACTCAGACTGGAGAGTCCACTTCCAGGATCATTCACATGATTGTTGGCAGGCCCTGTGGACCTCTTCATAGGGGTGTTCACAGTGTGGCATCTTGCTTCCTTCAATGAGTGATCCAAGAGAGAAAAACTCAGGATGGAATCTGCAGTCTTTTATAACCTAATCTCAGATGTGAATACCATTACTTCTATGTACTTGGTGATGCAAACCAACCCTGGTATACAACACAAGGATGTCAACATCAGGTGGCAGGGAACATCTGGGGCCATCTTGGAGGCTGCCTACCATACTAATACTTTGTTATTTTTATGTGTTGCTGATACCATCTTTCAGTTCTTTCAATTTATCTATGATATCTTTTGATGAATAGAAGTTCATTTTAATGTAGATTGATCAATCTTTCATATTTAATGCTTTCCTATCTAGTTTAAGAAATTCTTCATTCAAAGTAAAAAAGATATTCTGTATTTTTTTCTAAAAGTGTTATGGTTTTGCCTTTCACATGTGGGATCTTAATTCATCTAGATTTTATTTCGGTGTATGATATAAAGTAAGGAACATCCCCCCCCCCCGCCTTCATTTGCTTAACCAGTTGTTCAAGAATTATTTATTTTAAAAAATCATCCTTTCCTCCACTGATGGGCAATGTTACTCCTGTCATATGTCAAATTTCTAATGATAGTTTCTTGATTACTGTAACTTAATCATGAGCTTATATTTGATAGAACAGATTCCCCTCTCCCCCCGCCTTATTTTCCCAGGATGGTCTTGACTTCCTTGCCATTAAAGTTTTAGGAAAAGCTTATCAAGTTAGCTTGAAAAGTTGTATTGAATTTTGAGTGGGATTGCATTGAGCACTCAAATGCATTGAGTGCATTGAGCTTATAGATCGTTTTAAGAACTAATATCTTTTAATACTGAATATTCTAGTTTTATGAGCATGGTTCCTTCGTTTACTACTTTTCAGTGGTTTTCAGATTTTTTAGAATAAAGTTAAAAAATTTTTTCACCAAGTTCATATTTTGTTACAAATATACCTAGGTATCATATTTTTAAAAATGTTTTAACGTGTTATTATAAAATATTCAGAAAATGTATAAAACATAAATGTACAGCTTAAGTTATTAGAAAGTCAATAACTTTTGAGTCAGGCAATAAAGCATTACCAGCACCTCAGAAACCCACCACATCCCTCTCACAAATTATACCCTGTTCCCTCTCTCATAATTATCCTGACCTTTTTAAAAGAATTTTCAATTTCTGTGTATTTTTATGCTTTATGTCTCTTGTAAATAGTATAAGATTTTTTAAAAATTATTTTATTTTTGGCTGTGTTGGGTCGTCGCTGCACGGGGGCTTTCTCTAGTTGCGGCGAGCGGGGGCTACTCTTCGTTGTGGTGCGCGTGCTTCTCATTGCAGTGGCTTCCCTTTGTTGCGGAGCGCAGGCTCTAGGCACACGGGCTTCAGTAGTTGTGGCTCGTGGGCTCAGTAGTTGTAGCTCGTGGGCTGTGGAGCGCAGGCTCAGTAGTTGTGGCACACAGGCTGTATTGCTCCGTGGCATGTGGGATCTTCCCGGACCAGGCCTCAAACCCATGTCCCCTGCATTGGCAGGTGGATCCTGAACCACTGCACCACCAGGGAAGTCCAGGTGGTTTTGTTTTAAATTTAGTTGGTCATCTCTGACTTTTAACTGGAGGGTTCAGTCTGTTTACATTTATAATGACTGTGGATGAGTTCGGACTTACTTCTGCCATCTTTGTGCTGCTGTTCATTTCACTTTTCAATGTCTCATATTTTTTGTTTGTATTCTCCATTTTTTTCCTCTACTAGTTTGAAACTTTGTAATTTCTGTTCTTGTAGTATTTAACCTTGATATTTTGCATACTTACTTAAAGCTAATCAGTATCTTAATCCTTCTACTGACTAAAAGAATAACACTTTATCAGAACTCTAGTAACTGATCACCCCACTCCTGGTTTGTGCGACTGTTTTAATTGACTTTTTAACATCACATAGTAGATACTATTTTTAGTGTTTGTCTGGATACACCTCTAAGTTTAGCAGTTTCTCTGCTCACCAATCCTTCTTAAATCTCAGACCTTTCTTCTGGATGAATTCCTTCCTCCCCACCTCCCTTTCCTTCTTGAGCTCTGCTGAGATGCATTGGGTCCTTCTATTTCAAATCATTTAACTCTTTTAATCTTTCTCTTCTGTTTTTCCTGTTCTTATTTCTGCTGTATTCTGGGCATGGTCTTCAGATATGTCTTTGTGTTCATTTAAAGCTTCAGTTGGATCTAATCTTCTGTTTATTATTAGCATCCATTGGGTTTTTGATTTCATTATTATACATTTCTAAAGGGTATATTTAGTTTCTCTTAAACTCTGATCATTTTTAATACTCATTTCCTGTTTGAGTTCATGTTTTCTTTATACACATCCATACATGAGTGCTTTGCATTCAAAATATGGTCATTCCAGCATCTGAAGGTGTTGGGGTTCTAAATCTTTTTTCCCCCAGCATTTTATTTTTCATGGCACTGCTTCTGCTTGTGTGTTTTTTTTTAATTTTTTTTTTTGTGTGTGGTACACGGGCCTCTCACTGTTGTGGCCTCTCCCACCGCGGAGCACAGGCTCCGGACGCACAGGCCCAGCGGCCATGGCTCACGGGCCCAGCTGCTCTGCGGCATGTGGGATCCTCCCGGACCGGGTCACGAACCCGTGTCCCCTGCATCGGCAGGCGGACTCCCAACCACTGCGCCACCAGGGAAGCCCTAATTTTGCTTTTTTTAAAAAATAAATTTATTTATTTTTGGCTCTGTTGGGTCTTTGTTGCTGTACGCGGGTTTTCTCTGCTTGTGGCGAGTGGGGGCTCCTCTCCGTTGCCATGCGCGGGCTTCTCATTGCAGTGGCTTCTGTTGCACAGCACGGGCTCTAGGCGCACAGACTTAAGTAGTTGTGGCTCACGGGCTCTAGAGCACAGGCTCAGTAGTTGTGGCGCATGGGCTTAGTTGCTCCGCGGCGTGTGGGATCTTCCCGGACCAGGGCTCGAACCCGTGTCCCCTGCATTGGCAGGCAGATTCTTAACCACTGAGCACCAGGAAGGCCCTGCTTATGTCTTATACATATGTATATACACATATGTGTGTGTATATATATATATATATGTATATATGTGTGTATGTGTATATGTATATGTTTGTTACCACTGTAAATCAATTTCTTGGTTTTGAGTTTTGTAAATTTTGTGAATTTTACTCCAGACCTATTTGAGAACAGGCTTGTAGTTCCAAATCCTCACCAAAGACCATTATCATTATTTTTCTTCTTGTAGCTGTTCCCTGGGTAACCTCTCTTTGCTGGCAGATGGATTTCTTTTCCAGCCTATTAACAGGGACCCTTTAAGGATCCCTACTTAATGGAGGCATTTCATGTGCAGCTCCGCTAAGACACTGTCTCCCGATCGCTGAGTTGATGTCAGTATTTGCCTCTAGGGCCACCCAGGTTTTTAAGTTCCTCTTACAGAGTTGATTTAAATTTGCTGTTCCTTTTGATGGGTGAGGTGGGGAGGAGAGGCTTGTTCCTTGGGGATTTCCAGTTCATTCTATCAAGCTTAATAGTGCATTAAAAGGTATGTTTTTGAAAATTTAGTTATAGTGAGTGGGTTTTCTAAGAGTATCTGAACCACCATATTGCCAGAAGTAGAAGTGTGCTTTGGATTTTTCAGGAAATAAAAAATGATGGCTTTTAAAAACTGGGAGAAAGGCTTCATGATTCTAGGCCCCATTAATGGAAATAGAGAGTCCAGGATTTGAAACTAATATTTATTTCCATTTTATTAAATAGACCACAATGAGAGGCTTGTACTTAGTTCTGGCAGGCATATTCAAGATGACCAATAATAGGGTGATGGTTAAATTATAGTGTAACTTCTGGAACCAGTCATATTTTTTCAAAGGCTGTCAGTCATGGTGAAATTTTTGCAACTTATTTGAGAAAAGTGGGATATAATACTATTCTCTATGGTCCCCAAATTATTTAGAATAGAAAAAGCAAATTGGTAAGTGACAGTTGGTGGCAGAGTGATGATAGAAGTTTAATATTTTATATTTTAAAGTCTTGTATTCCAAATTTTCTACAATAGAAAAAAATTGGGGTGGATACTGATAAACTACAAAGTATCCCCTTTGGGAAGTCAAAAACCTAGAAAACAAATCTGGAAAACTCATACTTATCAGCTAGAGGAAAAGGTAATTATTTTGAAATATGTGAAATAATGTCATGAAATATACTAACATCTGGTGCTCACTTTGTACCAGGCGCTGTGCTGCACACGGGACTTGACTTGAGGAGGTTAACTTGACCAAAGTCCAACTGCTAGCAAGCACCACAGCTGTTGTTGGAACCTAGGTCTTCTGGAGCCAGCTCTACCTTGTATTCACCTCTGTCCCCTAAGCCAGAAACCTTAAAGTTTCCATACCACTCTCATTGATTTTGGTTTACTATCATCAATCAGGATGTAGTGGCACGGGAAGAGGGTGCCCCAGGAAGGTAGGAGGTAGAATTATTGTACTACAATGAATTGTTTAATAAATATTAAAGAGACTGGATACAGCTGTTTCACAAAAAGATATATTTTCATATGACTATTTACATTTTTCATATTTAGTTAAAGAATATCATACAACTGATACCTTCTGAAATGTTTCATGCTTTTAAACTCTTCTATTTACACTTATCTGACATGGAATTATTAAAACTAAAATGGTTAAATACCTCGGTAATAGAAAGCAACCAGCCAGTGTAGCTGGGTCTTCACTTAAATTTGTTGATCAGCATTAGCAATAGTTACCTTAATAAATTATCATTCATTTTAAAATCAGTAGTAATTTTAAACAATTCATAAATAAGTGTGCTCTGTGCAATTTACATGTTTAATATCCTGTGGATACTAAAAGCTTGTATATTGTCAGATTTGCACATTATTACTTTACTTTATCAAATGATAAGCTTTCTCAAAGAAGAAACCGGATAAGCTTGAAATTATATCCTAAGGTTCTCTGGAGAGTCAGTTGTCAAAGCTCTGCCTGCTTTATAGGAGGAGGTTCCAATTTACGTGAGAGGGCAGTTAAAATCTGGTTGAATTTCTCATATCTCTCTGTCTGATTGACTTGTGCACCTTTGCTGCCCCATAGCAATCTCATTTGGAATTCAGTCTTGAAGATTTCACTCATTTCTTCATCTGGTTGAAAACCTAGTAAAAACAAAACCAAAAAAACTTACTTCAGTTCTGCTTGAAACAGTGTGGAAAATAGACTGAAAACTTGTTTTAAAGTAGGATCAAAATGAACATCTCTCAGAACTTTCAAAAAAATGCCCCCAAGGAAAAAAAATATAGGATCTACTCTATATAAAGGTGGGTAGAGCACCCCCCCTCCCAAGGACCTGAACACCTTCAGAGAAAGAATAACAAGTAAACGCACTAAGACGTGATAGAATAAAATTCGTGTGCACAAGCCACCATGGGCCGTAGTGCTGTGAGAAGGAGTGTTCAAAGTACCTTTTTTTTTTTTTAACAGCTTTATTGTTGTATAATTTACTTGTCATGATTCACCCATTTTAGCTGCGGTTTATACAGTTGCACAACCATCACCACCACTTTAGAACAATTCCATCAATCACCGTAGAAAATCCCCTAGTACCTCTTTGCAGTCAATCCCTGTACCTACCCCCACACCACAGCCAACCACTAATCTTTCCATCACTATTGCTTTGCCTTTTGTAGAAATTTGATATAAATGGGATTATATAACATGGACTTTTTTTATGTCAGGCTTCTTTCACTCAGCATGATGTTTTTAAGATTCCATATTGTTGTAGTTATCAATAATTCATTCCTTTTTATTGCTGAGTAGTATTCAGTTATGTGGACATACATACCACATTTTGTTTACCAACTGATAAAGACATTTGGATTGTTTCCAGTTTCTGGCTGTTACGAATAATGTGAACATTTGTGATTAAGTCTTTTTGAGTGGACATTTGTTTTCATTTCTCTGGAAGTGGAATTACTGGGTCACATGGTAAATATATGTTTACTTTTAAAGAAACCATCAAACTCTTTTCCAAAATGACTTTACCATTTTATATTCTCATCAGTAACATGTGAAGAGTCCAGCTGTCAGCTCTTGGTATTGTCATTCTAGATAGCACGTGGTGGTATCTCACTGTGGTTTACATTTACATTTCCGTAATAACTAATGCTTTGAACATTTTTCCATGTAGTTTATTGTCATTGTATATCCACTCTGGTGTAGTGTCTATTCAAATCTTTTGTTGATTCAAATCTTGTTTCTCTTCTCCTTGAGTTGTAAGATTTCTTTAGATTCTAGATATAAGTCCTTTATCTGATGTATGTTTGCCAAATATTTTCTTCTAGTCTGTGGTGTGCCTTTTCACTTCCTTAATGGTGACTTTTAAAGAGCAAAATGTAAAATTTTGATTTATCAGTTTTCTTTTATGGTTCATGCTTTTTGTATCTTCAGAAATTTTGCCTAACCCAAGGACACAAGGAATTTCTCCTATGTTTTCTTATAGAAGCTTTACACTTTAGCTGTTACATTTTGAGTGTATGCTGTGACGTAAAGATTGAGATTCTTTTTTTTGTATATGATAGTAATTCCAGCACCATTTGTTGAAAGATAAGTTTATGCAGTGAATTACCTTGACACTGTTGTCAGAAAACAATCTACAGTCACATGTGTGGGCCTGTTTCTCAACTCTCTTTTCTCTTCTGTAAGAGAAGATCTGCTCTACTTACGGCCAAGGATGCTCAGTCAACTCTATTAGAGCAGGGGAAACCTCTAGCCAAAGCGTCATGCAGGCATATGTTTCTCATCCTTGATTACTGCTGGAGTAGTTGGCTCTGTCATTAAATATATTCTCATCATCTAGATCATAGTATCTTCGTGACGGAGAGGATTATAGAAGGCTTCTATTCCATTCATCCATGTGATGCCAAAATATCTTTGGCAGATAACCAGCCAGAGGCCAGATGACAACTTCCACTCATTCAGTTAATATGCTTTGAGCCCCTACCCTGGGCTGAGTGCTGGGATATGTTGGTGAGCAAATCTCTGCCCTTACTGGGCTCACAGTCACTTCTAGCAATGAGAACTTGCTATGAAAACCAGTAGCAGGATCAACTGAGAAATACCATCAGATGCCTTTAAGGTGATTTGCTGTAGAACAGCTTAGAGCATACTTTTCTCAAAATCCACCCTAATATATTGGCTTAGGCAACATCTAATGTAATATACTTATTGGTTTTGTATAAGCAGGCATTCCAGTATCTGGTGAGTTGAATTACAGGCTTTTATGGTTTGAGTCCTACACTGCCAACCCTGAAGAACTTTCTGAGGAAAAGAAAAGAAACAGGTATGTAGTGCTTATACCTACGGCAGACACAGTGTAAATTGTTCAGTCCCAAATTCTTTTCTGAATTAACAACTTTGTTTCAGGTTGAAATAACAACTTTGTTTCAGGCTCTTCTGCCCCATATAGTTCTTAACCTTGTGGATCAAACTGTGGGCCCTTGAAGACTGTTAAAAATTATACAGTGAGGGGCTTCCCTGGTGGCACAGTGGTTGAGAGTCCGCCTGCCGATGCAGGGGACATGGGTTCGTGCCCCGGCCCAGGAAGATCCCACGTGCCACAGAGCGGCTAGGCCCTTGAGCCATGGCCACTGAGCCTGCGCGTCCGGAGCCTGTGCTCCGCAATGGGAGAGGCCACAACAGTGAGAGGACCGCGTACCACACACACACACACAAAATTATACAGTGAGGAAGAGAAAATAGTCACCCCTGATAACTGTGTTGGTAAAGCCCTTATTCTTGTACTTGCTTCCTAAATGGTCTTTTTGCCTGCAAGCTTCAGTCTTCCTGCCTTCCTCCACAAAGATGGCAGACTGAAAACAAATCTGACCATGTGATAACATCCTCCCATGTTTAAAACCCTTCACTGGCTCTTCCTCAGCCACAGTCCTACATGGAAGGCCTTCCCACCTGTATCCCCCTTCTTCTTTAACCTAGCTGGCCACTCCTTAAGACACACTTTACACTAATACAAAGCCAAGTACTTGTGGTTCGTACTTTTCTCCAAGCTCTCTCAGTGCCTTTGCTTATGTTGGACCCTCTGATGCCAAGAGCAGGGGAGCTCACTTGCCAGTGTTCTGGGAAGAATACAGATAAGTCAGATAGAACTCACAACTCCTCATGTTGGCCCATCACCTTTTCTAATAGTGATTATCAGAGGTACTAATGGTAAACAAGCTGACAAATTCTTTCTTGATCCTTTCTCTCTGTTTATACCACTGGCACAAGAGAGAGAATACGTAAAAGGAAGGGAGAAGTAGGATCCCTAAGACAGGAACTAAGAGTAAGTAGTGATCAACCATACAGGAAATGGAATTCCCATGCCTTAATCTTTCCTACTTGGTCTCTTTCTTATTGAGAGCACCCATGCTTTTTCATTCCTTCATTCCAATTACTGTGCAGAGTAGACAGCTTACTGAAACCAGCTCTTACCTGCCAGGATCCTCTCAGCATTCATCCGGTAGCTGTCTGCCGCTTCTGCCATGAGTCGGGCTGTTGCCAAATGGTTCAGCATAATCTCACAGCTTTCGTCGTTTTTTTCCCACATGTCAGTTCCTTCAAAAGTGACAGCCTCGCGCTCCATTAAGGTCACAAGAGGCATCAGCAGTGGGACTGATATATTGTTTGGGGGAACACACGTAGACTCTGAAAAACAAGGGGTAAAGTTTTCCACGTCATGCTTTCTTTCCAAGTTAAGTGCAAAGAGTTCCAGTTGAAGATGGCAACGTAGGAGTGTCCTGGGCTCACCTCCTTCTGCGGACACACTGAATCTGTGGCTAAATATGGAACAACTGCCTCTGGAAAAAACTAAAAACTGTCTGAATAACTGTCCAAATGCATTGCATAAATGAGAGAAGGTCGACATCAAAGCAGGTAAGAGAGGCTGGGAGACTATCTCTCTATAAACCCCACCCCTGGCACAGTGACCCACAATCGGGAGGGAACTCAAAACCTGGAGCTTCTCCATGAGGAGCAAAGGGCTTGAACCCCACATGGGGTACCCCAGCTTTTAAGACCAGCACCTGAAAAATCAGCCCCCAAAACATCTAACTTTGAAAACCAACAGTACTCATGTCTGCAAGACCCACAAGGCTATAGTCATCTGAGAAACAGGTCTTAAAGGGCTTGCAAGCTTGGACTCACCTACCCCAAGGCTCAGTGCAGAGGCAGCCAATTGAGAATTACGCAAATGAGGCTCATTTGCTAATCTTAAAGCTTTAGCCCGAGAGGCAGGCTTCTGGTTTGGCAAACAACTGGGACCTATAAGGCTCTCTCAGCAATGGAGGCTAATGGATGACGCAATCTTTGTGCTCTCCCTCTGCCTTGCTCCACCTCACTGATATATCCCAGAAAGTAGCTCATACCCTTGTCTGGCATTCCAATATCTCCAGCTGCCTCCAGAGGACACCTCTAAATTGCCTAGCTCTGATGGCCAATGGGGCTTATTATGCCCATGGGTCCTATTGGACTGTAACCTTTGTAATGCCACAAGATAAGAAAATTACAGGCCAATATCTGTGACGAACACAGATCCACAAATCCTGAACAAAATATTTGCAAGCTGAATTCAGTACATTGAAAGGATCATATACATTGATCAAGTGGGATTTATTCCAGGGATGCAAGCATGGCTCAACATTCACAAATCGTTATGATATACCACATTAATAAAAGAAAGATAAATGATTTTTCTGCATCTACTAAGATCAAATTATTTTTAACAAAATTCAACATCCATTTATGATAAAAACTCAACAAAGTGGGAATAAAGGGAATGTACAACAACATAATAAAGGCCATATATAACAAGCCCACAGCTAACATCATAATGATGAAGAGCTAAAAACTTTCCCTCTAAGATCAGGAAAAAAAGGATGACTATTCACGACTTCTATTCAACATAGTACTGGAAGTCCTAGCCAGAGTAATTAGGGAAGAAAAAGAAATAAAACCATCCAAACTGGAAAGGAAGATGTAAAACTATTACTATTTGCAGATGACCTGTTATATATAGAAAACCCTAAAGACTCCACCAAAAAACTGTTAGAATAAAGGAATTCAGTAAAGTTGCAGGATACAAAATATACAAAAACCTGTTGCATTTCCATATGCTAATAACAAACTAACAGAAAGACATTAAGAAAATAATTCCATTTACAATTACATCAAAAAGATCAAAATACCTAGGAATAAATTTAACCAAAGAGATGAAAGACCTGTACACTGAAAACTGTAAGACATTGATGAAAGAAATTGAAGAAGACACAAATAAATGGAAAGATATTGTGCTCCCGGAATGGAAGAATTCATATTGTTAAAATGTCCATACTACCCAAAGTAATCTATAGATTCAGTGCAATCCTTATAAAATTCCAATGGCATTTTTCACAGAAATAGAACAAACACAATCCTAAAATTTATGTGGAACCACAAAAGATGCCAAGGAGCCAAAACAATCTTGAGAAAGAACAAAGCTAGAAGCATGACATTCCCTGATTTCACACTACATTACAAAGCTGTAGTAAAACAGCATGGTATTGGCATAAAAATGGACACATATATCAATGGAACAGAATAGGGAGCCCTGAAACAAAACCACACACATATGGTCAGTCAATTTGTGACAAAGTAGCCAAGAATATACACCGAGGAAAGGACAGTCTCTTCAATAAGTGGTGTTGGGAATACTGGACAGCTACATCAGGGAAGTGCAAATCACAATGAGATATCATCTCACATCTGTTAGAATGGCTGTTATAAAAAAGACAAGAAATAACAAGTTTTAGCAAGGATGCAGAGAAAAGGGAACCCTTGGGCACTGTTGGTGGGGATGTAAATTGGTGCAGCCACTATGGAAAATGGAGGTTCCTCAAAAAGTTAAAAATAGAGCTGTCATATGATTCAGCAATTTCACCTCTGGGTATTTACCTGAATAAAACAAAAACACTAATTTGAAAAGATACATGCACCACCTCCCTGCCCCATTCACTGAAGCATTATTTGTAAAAGCCAAGACATGGAACCAACCTAACTGTCCATCAATAGATGAATGGATAAAGAAGATGTGGACTCATGCTCTTGGACTGGAAGAATTAATATTGTTAAAATGGCCATACTACCCAAAGCAATCTACAGATTTAATGTGATCCCTGTAAAATTACCCATGACATTTTTCACAGAACTAGAATAAATAATTGTAAAATTTATATGGAGTCACAAAAGACCTAGAATTGCCACAGCAATCCTGAAGAAAAAGAACAAAGCTGGAGGCATAATCCTCCCAGACTTCAGACAATACTACAAAGCTACATTAATCAGAACAGCATGGTATTGGTATGGAAACAGACATATGGATCAATGGAACAGAATACAGAGCCCAGAAATAAACGCACACACCTATGGTCAATTAATCTTTGACAATGGAGGCAAGAATATACAATGGAGATAAGACAGTCTCTTCAGCAAGTGGTGGGAAAGCTGGACAGCTACATGCAAATCAATGAACTTAGAACATTCCCTCACAGCATACACAATAACTCAAAATGACTTAAAGACCTAAATATAAGACATGATCCCATAAAACTCTGAGAAGAGAAAATAGGCAAAACATTCTCTGGTATAAATCATAGTGATGTTTTCTTAGTCTCCCAAGGCAATAGAAATAAAAGCAAAAATAAACAAATGGGACCTAATCAAACTTATAAACTTTTGCACAGCAAAGGAATCCATAAACAAAATGAAAAGGCAACCAACAGACTGGGAGAAAATATTTGCAAACACTGCAACCAACAAGGGCTTAATTTCTAAAATATACATACAGCTCATACAACTCAATAACAAAAAAACAAACAACCCAATCAAAAAATGGGCAGAAGACCTAAATAGACATTTCTCCAAAGAAGACATACAGATGGCCAATAGGCACATGAAAAGGTGCTCAACGTTGCTAATTATCAGAGAAATGTAAATCAAAACTACAATGAGGTATCACCTCACACTGGTCAGAATGGCCGTCATCAAAAAGTCACAAACAATAAGTGCTGGAGAGGGTGTTGAGAAAAGGGAGCCCTTCTACACGGTTGGAGGAAATGAAAATTAGTGCAACCACTATGGAGAACAGTATGGAGGTTCCTTAAAAAACTAAAAATAGAGTTGCCATATGATCCAGCAATCCCACTCCTGGGCATATATCCAGAGAAAACTCTAATTCGAAAAAATACATGTACCCCAGTGGTCACAGCAGCACTATTTACAACAGCCAAGATATGGAAGCAACCTAAATGTCCGTCGACAGATAAGTAGATAAAGAAGATGTGGTACACACACACACACACACACACACACACACACACACAGTGGAATATTACTCAGCCATAAAAACGAATGAAATAATGCCATCTGCATCAATATGGATGGACACAGAGATTACCATACTTCATAAGTGAAGTGTGTCAAAGACAAATATATGATATTACTTATGTGTGGAATCTAAAAAAAATGATACAAATGAACTTATTTACAGAATGGAAACAGACTCACAGTAATAGAAAACAAATCTATGTTTACCAAAGGGGAAAGAAGGGGAGGGATAAATGAGTTTGGAATTAGCAGATACAAAGTACTATATATAGGGACTTCCCTGGTGGTGCAGTGGTTAAGAATTCGCCTTCCAGTGCAGGGGACACGGGTTTGAACCCTGGTCCGGGAAGATCCTACGTGCCACAGAGCAACTAAGCCCGTGCGCAACTACTGAGCCAGCGCTCTAGAGCCCATGAGCCACAACTACTGAGCCCACATGCCACAACTACTGAAGCCTGTGCTCCACAACAAGAGAAGCCACCGCAATGAGAAGCCCATGTACTGCAAGCAAGAGTAGCCCTGCTCACCACAACTAGGGAAAGCCTGAGTGCAACAATGAATACCCAACACAGCCAAAAAATAAATAAATTTATAAAAAAAAATACTATATATAAAATAGGTAAATAACGTCCTATTTTATAGCATAGGGAACTACATTCAATATCTTGTAATAACCTATAATGAAAAAGAATATGAAAAATGATACATATATATGTATAACTGAATTATTTTGCTGTACATCAGAATCTAACACAACATTGTAAATCAATTATAACTTCAGTAAAAAAAGAAGATGCGTGTGTGTATACACACACACACATACATATATACACAATGGAATATTATTCAGCCATTAAAAAATAATGAATCCTGCCATTTGTAACAACATGAATGCAACTTGAGGGCACTATGTTAAGTGAAATAAGTCAGACAGAAAAAGATAAATACCATATGAGCTCACTTACATGTGATACCTAAAAAAAACAAAAACAAAAACACCCTTTGAGCTCATGGATATAGAGAACAGATTGGTGGTTGCCTGAGTAGGGGTAGGGGGAGAAGTGAAATGGGTGAAGGGGATCAAACGGTACAAATTTCCAGTTATAAAGTGAATAAGTCCTGGGGGATGTAATGTACAGCATGGTGACTATAGTTAATAATACTGTATTGCATATTTGAAAGTAGCTAGCAGAGTGGATCTTGAAAGTTCTCATCAGAAGAAAAAAAACGTTTTGTAACCATGTATGGTAACAGATATTAACTGGTCTTATTGTGATCATTTTGCAACATATACAAATATGAAATCATTACGTTGTACACCTGAAGCTAATATAATGTTATGTAAATTACACCTCAATTTATAAAGTTAAGCACAAAATAAGGTAACTAGTAGCCTGTGTCTTGTTTTAGCAACTGCAGACCTACAAGCGATGCTGTCATCTGATAAAAGCCTTGGTGACCCATCAACAGTCCTGCAGATAACTGAGAGCCTCATAATATGCCCCGCTAAATGCTTCGATCAAACCAGAACAGATATGACACTGCCAGAGCTGCCACCAGACCCCCTTGTCCTGATCCTGTGCTCACCTCTGCCTTCGTGCAGGATTTTGCTAAAAGGCTTCAGCTGTTTCTCATAGAGGATGGCGGTTTGTGTGTACTGGTGCCGCAGGGCAGTCCACGTTTTTTCTAACCTTGTGATCTGGAAGAAAGAAAGGTGTTATCATTTTGGAAAAGGCTCTTTTTAAAACTACGTTTTTGCTTAAATTTTGGAATGGATGATAGAGGTACATGGTAAAATCTCAAAGCAGTTGAAAGGAGTGTAGAGAGAAAAGCTGATCCCCACCCCGACCCTGCTCCACATTGCTCTAATAACCCATGAGACACACACACCTTTTACAATAAATGTGTATCATACTACACATATTGTCCTGTTCGTTGTTTGGAAATTATTCCGTGTGAGTACATATAGAACAGTCTTGTTCTGTTAAACTTTTGCCTAGTGTTCCATTTATGCATAAACCATAGTTTAACTAGTTTCCTGTAGATAAGTGCTTTAAACATATTTTTCTATTACCAAGTATCTGGAGGATAAATTTCCAGAAGTGGAACTACTGGGTTAAAAAATACATGTATTTTGAATTTTGATAGGAGTTGCCAACTGTCCTCCACAGAGGTTATACTGATGTAAGGATGTAGAATATGACATACAGCATTTTAATGTTACTTGTAAGTAATAAAGTCTGAGACGTGGAAAATTGCCTAGACCATATGATGCCACTACTCATTCCTTTTCATTTCTTTGGGAACAATTTAGTCAAAACCAACATATGCCACTGACTCTGACTGCCCTAGATAAATGGTCCCCCACTCACACCTTCAAGCAAGCCCGTGTCTGACCTTTTCTACATGAAACAAAGAAGGAGGGAAGGGAACTAATATTTATGGAACGAGAGCCAACTCTGTCAGGTATTTGAGGAATTTCATTTAATCCTCACCATGCCCTATGAGGCAGGTATTTTGGCTTCATTTTACAGGTCAGAAAACAAAAGAGATTAGGTAACTTGCTCAAGGTTTCATAGCTGCTAAATGGCGGAGCTGAAATTCATTTCCTTGGGCTCTAAGAGCTCCCTGCGTATTCCAAGAGGAAGGTGAGAAAGGATCACCATCAGCAGATTTGTTGGGAAGGAAAGGACGTGGCTGTTTTTCCTCTGGCCTCCTACCACCCTGCCCTCTCTTCTCTTCCCCCTCCCTGAAGCGTCCGCCTTTCTGAAAGGAGCCCTTGTCTCTGGGCTAGGCCCATCTCCTGGATGCTCCCTCTTGACCCCAGAAGCTGAGAAGAGAAGGAGCAGGTTTAGATGATGGCACGCAGAAATGACGTGACTCCTCTCGGGTTTTTCCTGGGCCTGCCACTCCCCTCCCCAAGCAGGGCCCTGAACACCCTAGAGGACTCTGCCCCCTCATTGCTGAAGTACTCCAGAAGGGAGGAGTCTGATGCTGCTGTGTGGGGGGAGGCAGCCATCTATAAAGGCATGTTTAGGTGCTTTGGGGTAAGTCCCTAATTGCTGAGTTTGATGTCATGGACAGCAACCATGTTAATGCCACAAAACACCCCCTTCACTACTCTCGGAGAAAGCTCTGGGCTGGGGGGCCTATGCATACAGCTAGCCTGTTAGCCCTCAAAATTATAGGCAGTTTTGGATAAGAGGAAATAAATATGATGTAAATTAAAAACACCCAAATGAAAAAGTATAACTCCTGTTAGTATAGCAGAAGTCAGTATATCATGAAAATATGGCTGAACTTGCTTATTTCAAATATCACCCCTATACAGTTCCAGTGCATCTAAAGAATTTTGGAAGCTCTTGGTATATTATAATTGGAATTTACCCCTCTCAAAATTTCCTGGTGAAAGCATGAGGTTTTTCAGCTTCTTGTTTGAAAGGTGACCTCGCTTTCGTGCAAGGAAATTATGTTCCTAACATGCCCTGACTTAGCAACAGTGCCCCAGTGGCAGTGGTGGATGTTCAGTGAGCACCCGGCAGGATTTCAGAGACAATCTGTGGCTGTGAAACAGCCAAGCTAAATGAGCTGCGGTTTTGGTGTTAGGGGTTGCACACTGGGCTTGTGGGACTGTGATCTCATACTCGAAGTCGCCGAGTACCTAGGGCTTAACACAACGGAAGTCTGAAAGCTGACTCCTAGCAGTCAAGACAACAGGACCACTTTCCTCTGTGAGGTCCATTTGACTTCAAAGACAGGTTTTCAGTTTTGACCCTCCTCCTAAGAACAGTCTGTCAAAGCAGATAAATTCAAAGTGTCCGATTTCAGAAACTCTGCTTAGGGGGTTATTCAGCAGATGGGCCAGGAATCTGAATTTTTTAACAGCAGAGTCTGTTTTAGGTGATCTGAGGAACATACTTTGAGATAAATCACTCTAGGGATTCTTAGAGATCCGTTCCCCAAACGTCCCAGTTTGTCAGTCATTACCCCAAACTGCCTGCACGTCCGGTGACCCAGACAGAAGCAGTCTCTTTCTTATACAACACACCCAAGCCAGACGTGATCATCCTAACTGGTCCTTCAGGAATATCTGTAGTTCCTGAGGATGACTCTTCTTATCGTATATCAAAGAGAAAGTGTAGGTTGTCAGCAATTATCTGCTGTTTTTAAAAACAGAGCCAAAATACTTGGGACACTGCTCTTGTTTGCCCCCTAATTAAAGCAGCTTTCACTAAGATACGATTTACCTTTTGAGGTTAATAAAAATCATCTGTGATTTGCTAAGCATGGGCTTGCAGACCACTTTGTAGAACATTAAGTGCACGCAGGCCCACAGGGCCGCACAAAGCAAGTGAGAATTTACCTGCGGCATTTCCAAGGCCTTCATGATGGCCGAGAAAGAATAGAGGTCCCCCATGGAGTCTTTCAGCTCCACTGCCACCTGGATGATCCTATTGAGGGTGGCTGCTCTGTCCTCCAAAGTGCCCGTGCAGCCCAGAATGTCCACTGCAATGCCGATGGCCATCGTGTTGTGTCTGAGAGGGAGGAAGACAGCAGTCAGGCCCAGGGCCAACAGGACTAAGAGGAAACGAAACCAAATTGGCCAGGGAAAGGACTTGGCTTTCCACCGTTTGCTGCTATCGCCCTGAGATGTACTGGCAGCTCAGCCGGTTTGGTTGCTGATTTCAACAGAGAGATCGCCCCCATCAGGTTGACTGCAGCAGGGCCCCGGGGAGGCCTCAGTGGGTGTCCTATGGAGAGTCAAAAAGGACAGATGCTCCAGCACAGGGCTGTTCAGCCCTGGAGCAGGGGATGTGAAGAGGGCCCTCCTGGGGTGAAGCTGCTCAAAAGTGCAAGTGGCTCCTTGTACCTTCCACCATGACAGGTCTGTGGAGACGCCACGTCCCCCAACACACTGGGGAATCCCTTCCTCAGGGAAGCCCTGGGCCACCTCCACTGAGCCCCCTGGACTGGGGGATGCAAGGGACAGAAAAATGAGAGAACATGCTTGATTCAGGAAGACGACATGGATGTCAGAACAAAGAAAGAAATGAGGAGCAAAGAACAGAGTGTCTGTGGCTCCGGTCAAGGGGCCAGAAAGGGAATGGAGATGTGGACAAAGACTCAACAGTGGACCAGCAGGACATCCCTGTAAGGTCAGACCTAATAAAATTGAAATCTTGTATCTGCCAACAATCCTCCCTTTTCTCATCCTGAACTACACAGGTCAACCTCGCAGACCCAAAACAGGAAGCAGAATGGTCTTTTGTCTACAGACAATGGGACCAATATGAATGGGGTCGCAGAGAGGTCTCCTTCCTGGTGGCAGCAGCACAGCCTGTAAACCCGCCTCTCCTTCCTCCTGTGGACCAGGAGTTCCTGCCTTGGGCCAGAGTAGCCTCAGGTAAATTTCTCCAGGCGCTGGTACAGTGCTGGAGGTGAAGTCCTGATTCAAAGCGATAGTCGAAACAATAAGACTTTGCCTTTGAAACTGGGCCACCTTGTCCTGAAAGTTCACAGCTAAGGATGTTACTCCAAGACCATGCTTCTCTCTGTGCCCACGTGTGCTGGTGTCCCTCTCACTCTTCTAGAGCAAAGAGAGGTGTGATTCATCTAGTGCTTAGCATTACTAGTTTCTCTAACGATTGTTAAATCAGTAACGGGCTCTGCTGTCTGTGAGTGTTTGCACATGCGGGTATGCAGTGTGCTTGCTCTGAGTGTGACCTTAGGCCGTTACCTGACTGCTCTACTCCCCCATTTCCTCATCTCTAAAATGGGAACAAGGGTTGTCGGGAGAAAGACTGTGTGTGTGTGTAAAGATAATTAAAGCGCCTGGCACCACAGCACCCAGCAAATAGTAGTTACTAAAATTGTATCTATATGTGCATCTCTCCCTCTGTATCTTGGTCCCTTTTGCCTGTTGGCCTCTCTTTCCTTTTTCTTTATCTTTTGTGCTGATTTCCTATCTTTCCTAATTAATGGATCCTAAAATAGGCTTAAAGTATATTTTTATCATCTGTTGTACTTATTGAAGAGTTTTGTTACCCATTTGCAAACTGTTAAGGTTGAGCCAAACATTTTAGATGTTTAGTAGTAAACTAACTTCCCATGTTGCCTTCAACTGATTCTTTAATTCAGTGTTTTTTCCTATGTTTTAATGGCCCTTACTAAAAGACAGGCTCTCTGCTTCTTTAAGACGTGGCATTGTATCAACAGCTATTTGCGTAATTATATCCATTCGTTTAACCAACATTTGCCTCAAGCCTCCTGCACACACCACCACGAGGAAACCGGCTCAGCAAGGCGGCCCTACAGCAGAAGCTCCCGGGGTCGGCAGGGGGAGGCACTAAACGTTATACGAAGGATATCTCTGCTTGCTAGGCTTGGAATGGGTGAAGTGGTAAGTTTAAAATGAAGGGTAGTTTGTATTCAATTCTCAAACACAATAATGTCATTTGATCCTGCAGGACTGCTACAACCTTGGCCTTTATTTAGTAAACACACTGTAATGGAGAAAACAGCTCTCCAAGCCCTAGCAGGTAGATCCCACAGGTCAGCCCTGAACAGGAAACAAGCCAAGGAGCCAGACCCCAGGCAGGCGGCAATCAGGAGAAAGAGGAAACGGATGTAGACAAGAGTGGAAGTCAGAAAATAGCCCAGAGAGAAGCCTCAAGCCTGCTGACCTCAGCCTGGGCCTAGAATCCATGCCCAACACACCTAATGACACTGATAAAATAAGGCCTGCAACTGGGGAGTTTTCAGGCTGAAATGTATCACATGAGAAACTGGGACGCATGGCAGCACAGCTGTCTCTGTGGAAATGATGACCACCGGACCCAGACCAGGAAGGAGGGAAAGTTAGTGGAAATGAGAAGCCAGGCCCCTGCGGCATGGGGAGGGAGGAGGACGCCTGGAGAGCGGAGCTAGCATCTAGAACAGTCTGAGCAGGGAAAGTAGGGAAATTCGGAAGTCGGACCTACAATTGCCCAAAGACACTGAACAACAGGCCAACAAGCACCCACCCTGGCCTCTGATCAGAGGCATCAGGGGCCATTTCCTGTCCTCCTGCCTCCCAGAAGTCTTCCATTTGGTACTCTCGATGTTTCCTACGGGATGCATCTGTGGCTGTGAAGCCAAGGCAATAGCAGTATTGGAGCCATTTTATCTGCTTCATAGTCAGGTAAGCTTGAAAGCAGCTGTTATCGACCCTCCCAGGCTATTTAAAATACAATGTTCACTTTCTAGGGGCTGACAGCCTAGGACTGCACTGTCCACTAGCCACGTGTGGCTACTTACACTTAAAATAGTACACAGTAAAATAAAACACTGCATCCTTCAGTTGCCACATTTCAGGTGCCCGGTAGCAACATGTGGCTAGTGGCTGCTGTAATGAGATTTCTGCCATCACAGAGAGCTGCTGTACTGGACAGCGCTGTGACCCAGAACATCACGGAAAGCCATGGGCAGGGGATGACGGCACTCGGGCCCCCGGCCCCTGAATCACCCCTGCCCTCTTCTCACAAAAAGCCAGGGCCCTGGCTGTCCATTAAAGACCACATGTGTGTTGTGGCAATTGGGAACCTGGTTGGAGAAGCAGAAAACGTAAGATAACAAGATAGTCTCACACACAAAAAACTATCTTTTCTTTTGTGTCGAAAAGGCCAACTTCTATGGTAATATGAGAATCTAGTCTAGTGCTTCTTTTCTTAAAAACGTGCCTCACTACTTCTATCTTTCTAATTTCTCAATATCCGATGTTCAAGTGAGTGGGTTTTAATGGACAGCCAGGGCCCTGGCTTTTTGTGAGAAGAGGGCAGTAATGCTTCAGAGGCCGGGGGCCCGAGTTCCGTCATCCCCTGACCTCTGATCCCCCATCTGCCCTCCCTTCAGAGAAAACATTGTTCAGACTCTGTTCTTCCCAACTTCCCCACAAACTCCCACTTAATTCCTAAAGCAGTCTTGAACTCCGGAGACAAGGGGGCCGCAGCTCAGTGGGCCGGGCTGGAGGTGGTATGGCGTCCGTGCTCCGCCTGCCTGCAGTACTGCTCCCACCCCAGGCTGGCAGGGGCCGTGGTGAGCTGTGCTCCCAGGCGGGTAGTCTGTCCGCTCCTCCACCTGCTCCTGGAGCAGGGACGGGAACGTGCTCTCTGTTCCCTGACTTCCTCTTTGCTGTCTCTTTGAGCTTCTCCAGGAATTCTCTGGCTACGGCTTCTGGGCCACCCGCGCTCAAGCGAGGCAGAACTGGGGTGGTGGGTGCCCGGCCTCTCCCAGCTCTGAAACCTGTGGCTCTGCAGCCTGTGGAGTGGAAAGTGCCATAAATGCAGAGCAGCACCGCTCACCTTTCGATGATGTCCAGGCGCAGCTGGTGGCCATAAGGCAAGGTGATGAGCTCCAGCCCTGAGCTCATGCCCATGTTCTTCCTCATCTCTTCAGAGACTTCAAGTATCCTCGCGACCTGTCAAGAACACAGGTTGAAATGAACTGGACCAGGACGTGGGCTTGCTGCAAATACGAATTTATCACATGGAAAGAAATACACTCAACTGGAACAGTGTGGATGCACTTGACTTGTTGCATTTCTTTTTAAGCAGTGGCATCTTAGGATACAGTTTTAATATATTTGGAGGATTTTAATACACATACTGGAATGTAAAACCTGGGAGGAAAGCACCTAGATTGGTCTGCAAACTCTGCAGATTTGGTGTTTCTGCCTGGTCAGAGAATGGTACAGTTCTTCAAGCTTTTGTCTAACACAGGCTGGATCCTGCTGTGATGTTTTGCTGCCAACAGCAGGGCTGTGGGTGCGCACAGCAAACGGATCCCCTGCAGTGGAAAAGCAGAGCTGCGTCCAAATGCTGCTCTGCTGCAGGCTCTGCCGTTCATGTTCTCACTTAACGGCAGGGCTGGCTCCTATTACCCTTAATTACACCCCTCCTGGGCTCAGGAAACACAGTGTACGTCTGGAAACCATTAGAAACGTGTATAGCGATTTGAAACCCGAGGCCTCAAACACACCCACTTCTCCCCACCACCACCCCGAGAGGCCTTCCTTAAAGGAAATCTGGTTCGTTTGTCCCAGCCAGCTCTCCCCATCTCAATTCTAGTGTGTGATCACAGCTTATTGGAATCAGGTATTAGTTGACCACTTAGGGTTATTACATGCTACCTCCAAATACTACAACTGAGTTAGGCCGTCTCTAAAACGGGGCTGGTGACACTCACAGAGCACTGATGTACTAACAGTGCAACTAGCAGATACAGTGGGTCAAACCAGCCCTGGACACGCGGCAGGCGCGGGACAATCCCTCTCCTTGAGCCAGTGTTGTCCTCAACTATAATTATCCCGGGTATATGAACAGTCCAAGTGTCTTCGTAACAGGCCACGAAAAACATCTGGAAGTTCAGCTGATATTATTAACTTTGACCCTTAACTTCTGTGGCTGAGCAGAGGCACCGCTGTCAGCCCCGGGGATGAACTGTCCAGCACAGACTCCAGAGTAGGATGCAGGATTCATACTCTGCTCTCTGGGCCTCAGTTTCCCCTTCTCTAACACAACGGCTAAGTTCACCTTTCTCAAAGACTTTGCCAAGGATCAAATGGCCCTAAAACCCCAGCTATTTAAAAAAGTCAAGTTGTGAATCGTTGGCCACGTGGAAGGGGGAAGAATTCTGGCCAGATCTCTGGAAAGAGATTTACACCTTGACCATGACAAGACAGCCCTGATGCACACCCCGGCCACCTGCAATCACACACATTTTGCTTGCTTGTTTAGACACCTGTCCTGCCAGAGGCTCCAAACCCAACACATCCAATTCATGCACACTCTGTGTAACAAGAGTCAAAGGCTTGTCATTGACTCAGTTTTATTCTGGAAGCTGTTTTCCTTTCCAGTCTGTTTTCCTTTAGTGTAAACGTGCAATCCCCTGGTCACTTTCCTGACGTACTACCAGGAAATGCTGACACCTGCTTGCCCCAAGGCTGAGCTATGGAACAAGGGCGTCGTGAGGTCACAGTGCAGAGCCTGGATTAGGTCTCCTGGAAAAGCCTGGGGCCGTGCAGCTCAGAGATGCAGAGGAGGGATGAACACTTGTAGAGGATTTACTATGAGCTGGACCCGGCAGTGCAGGGTGACATCAATACCCCACGATGAGTTATTCTAGCCACCCTCTGCTCTTCTGATCTCAGCCATCCTAGCTTTGCAGGATCTCAGAACTCTGCTGGATCCTTATCCCATTGCCTCGGGAGTTGCTGCAGTGACCCAGGGGAGCCCTGAGAGGGGCCTGGCCCTGCTCTCCTCCCAGCTGCCAGGGACCTTCTCCATAGAAATGAGATTGCCTGGCTCCACTATCCGTGTCTGTTGTCCTCTGCAGAGGACTCTGATTTGCACTGTGCTCTTACGGGCCTGTCTCCCTCACTGAACTGCAAAGTTCTTTGAAGGCAGCAACCTGGCACGAGCCCAAAAGTAGACTTAAAAACAAGAAGGAAAGACCCCAGGCCCTCCCCCAGCTGACCCCATGTGCCCTTCACCACCCACACAGGGTGAATCCTCCATAAACCAACCCCTCCCCCCACGGCTTTTGCCCTCTGAGTCTCCGCACGTGTGTGTTGCCTGCCACCTGGAAGATGCCTTTTGTGTTCTTCATCAGGCCAACTCCTATTCAGCCTTCAAAACTCATCTCAGACATCTCCACCCTGATTCCCTCCCTCCCCTATGTTTAAGACCCTACCTCAGAGGCCCTGCAGGTCCTGTGCTTTTCCCTGCAGAGCATTTCCCACCTGGGCTGTGGTCTAAATTTCTGTGTCACTGTCGCTCCTGCCTCTCCCACCATGACCTGGCCTGGCTTGGCCCACGGTTGGTGCTCAACCAAGGCTCAGTACAGAACACTAGTGAACACTTACTTAGCTTCACTCTGGGGCAGGCATGGTATGAGGGCTTTGGTATTCACAACCACCTGGGCTATGGCATTGTTCTCCTTTTAGAGACACCGAGAGGCAGGGGGAGGTGGCATTAGACTCAGGCAGTTCATCCCCAGAGGCCAGGCCCTTGGCCGCTGGGCCTCCCTTCTAGCTTCTACAGAGCCCAGCAGGTGAGTGAGGCCAAGGCGGCGCCCCTTTGCAGGGTGGGAGGGGCTCAGCCTGGGGAGGGGCTCACACTGCTGGGCAGGCAGCCTCCAGGCGCTCAGGGCCATCCACCTGTCCTGACACCCCAGGCTCTGTGCACAGGTGGGAACCAGCACTTGGGCCCCAGATGCTGCCCAGCGCCTGCTCTCGGCTTCTGGTGGCCCCATCTGGTTGCATTTAGAGTCAGTAACAACAGCCTTTGTTTTGTTTCCCTCTTACAGACATTAGTTGTGCGTGATTTGTTGGCAAAGCCCTGAAGTCAGTGGTTCAGGAAGAGAATAAGGAAATGGCAGGGGACTCTGGAGGGAGGAAGGAGGACTTAACAGCCTGCCCTTGGGGGCTGGGAACAGGGGTCAGTCAGGGGGCTCCTGCTCAGGTCTCTGCCTCGCTGCTTGGGGGATCTGTCCAGCCCCTCTTCCAGGGGTGCCTGAAGGCAGACAGGGGAGTGGGACCCTCACCAGGAGGACAAAATGCAAACAGAGAAACAGAACAAGAAGGAGGGCAGGCTGCACATTCCTTCAGTTGAGAACAGACTTCCAAGGCAGTGGGAAGGTTCCAGACTCTCCTGCAAAGGGTGGTCAGGCATCTCACCTCCTCCTAGACTACCACCAAGCCCCGCCTGAGGCCACAACAGGGAAGGATTCATTTCCTCCTGGAAATTAGGCTGTTCTGTAAACCCGGACCCATGGTCCCACAAGGAGCTTCCTCCATGGAGAACCCAGACAGGTTCACGCCAGGCTCCTGGGCTATTGGTGTGGTTCTGCTCTCAGATCCAGGGCCCAGGATGAGAGCTACTTACTGGAACAGGAGACCTAAATCCTCTTCCTGCCCAAACAGGTTTAGCTCACATTAAAGTGAGGTAAGGTCTTAACAAGGCAAATTATCTGACCGCTTGGGGCACTGCCCAAGGACACCCAGCCAACCACGGGAACAGCCCTTGTTCTTCCAACACAGCCCCTTTCCTGGCAGCCCCCCAGACTGTTCACCCCAGAGCAGCCAGCACCTGCTTAACGGTCCTCATTAAGGAACATTGGGAGGCCCTCTGCGCCTCCGTGAGCTTCAATCAACTGAGGAACTCACTGGGGGAGTACTCGGAGATTAGATTTCCTGCCATGATTCATGACCCAGGAAATTTATTTAGGAAAACCCAATTCCTCAATAAGCCCTGATCTTTGAAGATAATTGACTCCACTGAGCTACAAATGAAAAAGGACTTTAAATCTCTCTAAGTCCTTATCTGTTGCTCAAATGAAGGGATCTGTCTCCTTATACTGAGGCATGGGCTAAGCACACCCCAGCCTTAAACACCTACTTTCTAGAAATTTCTCTCTGAAGGATGAGGTTGTCTTGGGGCCAGCTATGAACAAAAGCCACCCATATCTAAAAGAAATGCTTCCTATCAAAAATGATGATGATGTAAACACAGATTTATGTAGTCACATGGAAACATAGTCATGACATGTTGTTCGACGGAAGACAAAAAGGGTTTGGAATGGTATATATAGACCTGTGCCATTTCTGTGGTAAACAAATAGATATGCATGCAATTATTATTTACATGTACCTATTTGCAGAATAAATGTTAACAATAGTGATCACCAAGAAGCTGGATTTTGTGTGACTTTTATTTTTTCTTTTCTCTTAATCTGTATTGTATAATTTTTCTAAAATTGTATCTTATAATTGTATTTTATAATTTTTCTAAATTGAGCAAGTAACTTTAAAAATGTTTATCCTGGGGCTTCCCTGGTGGCGCAGTGGTTGAGAGCTCACCTGCCGATGCAGGGGACGCGGGTTCGTGTCCCGGTCCGGGAAGATCCCACATGCCGTGGAGCGGCTGGGCCCGTGAGCCATGGCCTCTGAGCCTGCGCGTCCGGAGCCTGTGCTCCGCAACGCGAGAGGCCACAACAGTGGGAGGCCCGTGTACCGCAAAAAAAAAAAAAAAAAAAAAGTTTATCCTAAATACCATTTTTGTAACAATAAAACAAATATATAATGTACATATGTAGCATGTACAATGAAAATAAAAACAGCCAAGGCTCTGCTACTCCAGAAACTACATTTTCATCTACAATCTACTCTTCTTTGGACTTGACTTCACCAGTTCTGATGGAGTTGAGGCTGTGGGAGAACTTGAAAATCTATGCCAGCTGGGAGAAGGACACAGCAGGGGTGGGAGAGGGAAGGCACGGCCCTGGGTAGCAGCCTGTGTCCCTCTGTCTCAGGTGAATTGTACAAGCTTCCTGCCTGGGCAAGGGTTGTCCCGGTCTGTAGTCCCCACCCCTTAAATAAATCCCCACACCCAGGTTATCATCTGAGTTTTCCTGTGAGCAAAGCAGTCACAAGGTAAGGCAAAATGAGGCCCAGATAGATCCCCCTTCCAAACATTCGGAAGTCTGACCAAACCCACCCGCCGGGCACCTACCTTGCAGTCCATGCTCAGCATGTGCTGGGCGATGACCTTGGGGTCGTTGTTGGTGAACAGTTCTTTCGCACGCTTCAGCATCGCGGTTTCCAGGGGCTTGTTCTCAGGAGGAAGGAGCTTCGACTCAAGGTCGTTGGGCTTGAAGGAGGAGGCAGTCTCCAGGAGGGGTGTCACGAATGTACCCTCGTCCTCCTGCCCCTTGTCCCTCTGGGTCGGCAGCGGCTCCCAAGGCTTTGCCCCGTCATCGTCATCAAGGATCAAGTAGCTGGTGTCAGAGTTCCGGGCAGCCGGCCCGCCGTTCTGCTTGGCTGTCAGCAGGTCCACGTAGCTGTCCTGGGCACAGAAGTGCGGCCGTGCTGCCCCATCGCAGCCTGCGGCCAAGGCTGGGTTCAGTTCGCAGTAGTTGGCCTCTGAGTTGAGCCAGGTGGACGGAGACCGGGGAGCCTTGAGCATGGGCGCTTTGCAGGGCTTGGGGGGCGGTTTGGGGCATAGCTGGCTGTCTGAGCCCCTCAGCACCCCCCCTGCCCTAGCGTCCGAGGAGACCCTCCGAACCACTGCTGGGCTCAGGGTGGGCTCACTGCCGGTCCTAAAAACCGGTGAGTTTGGGCAGGGTCTTGTGCCCACACCTGGGGACTGAGGGGGCAGCTTACCACCTGTGGAGGATAAGAGAGGGTCAGAAAAAGCTCAGCTGTGCGAAGAACATGAAACGGACAAAACTAGAGTGACAGCTCCTGGCCCTCAATTCAGGCCCTAGGATGTTGATTTTCACCCACAAAAGATAAGTCAGTATGACCACCGCAGGCCCGGTCTAGAGCAGTCTAGAGCTGTCTAGAGCATGTCAAGGGCTAAGATGGCCCCACCCCACTTCTGGGGGAATTCTAAATCCCAGCGACCACCGGCAGCTGGGCAGCAATGTCATTTACGGTCACAGGTTAGTACAGTTGGAACAGGGAACTACAATGAGCTTGGGGGGCAGTGAGTAATCTAACCTTGCCCTAAAAAACACAAGTCTTTAGCCACATAGCATAAAGGGGGGCCCTGATTCACTCTCAAAGCCAGGGTGGATCCCAGCCAGCTTTAAGAAAGAGACAGAGACACACGGGGAAGGGAGAAAAAGACACTGAGATAACCCACATCCAAGCGGTTTACAAAGGGGCAGCAGGAAAATCAACTTGTGGTTCCCCAAGGAAGGTCAGTTACAAAAATAATGAAAAACAATCCCGTCACCTATTAAGATAATTGCTTACTTGATTTCCCCACATTCCATACCATCTCACTCTTCTGGTTGTGGCAGGAGAATGGAGAGGAAGAGGGGTCTCTACCAGGAGCCCCAGGACTGACTCACTCACCATCTGCCCAGGGAGGAGACTAAGGGGGAGGTGCATTCGTTATGAAGACCACCAGTTAGCAACTGGGCTTAGAATCAGGAAACCTGGGTTCAAATGCTGGCTTCACCACTTACTAGGCAGAAGGATCTAGGCAGATCACTTCATATCTGCACCTCAGTTTTCTCAGCCACAAAGACGATAACCATGCCCACCTTGAAGGCTTGTTATGAGGCTTAAAAGCTAGCGCTCAGAAAGCGTCCAGCTCAGTGATTTGCATCTGGATATAGTTCTACAAACCCCTCATCCTACAGCCTGCAGACATGGAGTCTTCTGTCATTCCCAAATTAGGTGACCAGATGGGGCAGGGGAAGCAGCCTGAAGGAAGTCAGGGAAACACTGTCACCCTCTCCCTCCCAATTTCCCAAAGACCTACCAATTGGCAGGTAACTTTCCGACTGGTGGGCTTTGAGGGACAAGGCTCTTCTGTCCTGCATGTGATCCAGGCAGGCTGGCTGGCTACCACTCTTCTCTCTATTTCTGAAGCAAAAGACAAGTGGGGCAGAAACATGTCATTAAATCGTAAAACCTTTAGGCAACGTCATGGAAAGTTTAAAAAAAAAAAAAAGATTGCTCAGAATGAGAGTGCTCCCGCACAGCCTAAGAGTAAAGGAATGTCTGGTGGAGGGTGGAAATTACTGATGGGGGCGATTAGTACGTGACTCTGCCGTGGGCTCCAACCCTGCGTCCCCAGGACCAATCCAGTTAGGTCCTAGGTTGCCTCCTCTGAGCCTTTCCATCCTGTTGAGCAGATCAGGGTAAAGGTTTCAAGATACTCTCAGGAAAATCTGAGGAACTGGAATGTGTACTTTTAACGGTGCCTAAAATTACTTACAGACCCAGAAGGAAAGACTTGTGTAACTAACATGCATTCTCCGCCAGGCCTCACAGTGCCACGGTTAGGAAGGAAGCTGTGGGGCAGTTTCCATTTCAGTGCAAATCTCAGCGTCCCCCAGATAACCTGCAGGGTTGCCCGAGGAGTCTGTCCTACGCGTCTAGGAGGATCCCACAGCTAGCCTCCTCGGGACGAGTTGGGAAAAGGGACTTGGCGGGGTCACCAAGCAGCGGCTGCGAGGCACGGAGCACAGCCGCACAGGGAAAGGTGGAACGAAACAACAAGATCAGTTAGCATTCCTCTGTCCCTTGCCAATCCAGACTGGGAATTTCTCTAATTAGCACCAAAGAACAGAATTTCTCTTTTGCTAAGACAGAAAGCACTGCACCAGCCAAGTCGTAATGAACTTTAATCGGCCTCCCCCTCTCCAACGCCCCCGACAAACTTATGTTACAGACATCACCAAGTTCTTTCCTACCTTTGCAAGCACCAAAGAAATAAAACAAAACAAACCACCCCAAACTTCCAGCAACAGAGAAATTCCAGCAACCCCTCAGAGATAAAGCAGGGCAGAGGGCAAATTCCAAAAGGCAGTAGCTTCAGCGAGGTGATATTTAAGCAGTGATCACCGCCAGCGGTCGGACACCAGGGCCCCATCACCGGCCCGGAATGCAACCTGGCAGAGCGCACGCCTATGCCGGCGGCAGGTAGCCAACCAGCAGGCCCGACGTCAGGGAAGGTGTGGAGCCGCTGACGCAGAGGGGCAGGGCTTCGGGGCATCTTCCGTGCTGAGCCCACGCCACCCCTACCATTAGGCGTCTCTGGGCCTGCAACCTGTGCCAATGGGTGACAAGGCTTAGGGAGCTCTGCTCTCAAAGGGCAATCCGAAGAGTGGCTCTGTTAGGTTTGTATTGTCGACTTAGTGACTTTCTCAGCCTTTCTTTTATTTCTTATCTTTAAAAAAAAAAAAAAAAATCTGTATTTTAAATCCAGGCTGCTGAGGGCTGACCAGGCGGCCTTCCTCCCCAGCACCGTTCCTGGCAGGGGTTCTGTGGGTCATCCTGGCTCTGTTCACGACACTGACTGCCTGCTCACCAGTTCAGCAGCCAACCCCCGCCCACCACGAAAGAAACAGGAGAGGCCCCCTTTTAATATTTTAAGGGATCTCACTTCCGATCTTATTACCATGAAAAGGAGAATTTCTAAATGTCAGCTCTTGCCTCCTTCCCTGCAACTGCCCTGAGTCCTGCATTCGACTGCTCTCCAGAAAACAATAATTACTAGGATTATGAACACTCACCTAGCACTTTCTACGGGCCGGCACTGTTCGAAGCACTTTGCAGATCTTAAACCATTTAACCCTCAGAAGCCCCACCTTTCCAAGAAACTGAGGCCCAGAGGAGGTAAGTAGCTTGTCCAGGGTTGACCAGGTCAGGGGTGGACCAGCGTTGGAAGGCAGGCGGCAGGGTCCACCGCCAGACGCTGACTAACATCTACCAGAGCTTCCTAGTAGCACACAGCCGTCATTCGTATTACTCAGAGTCCTGTATTTTGCTTCTGAATTTTTGCAGTCTAGAGATTACAGTTTATGACATTTCCTCCTGGCCCAGAAAGAAAACCAGTGAGTGGAATAAAATATGTTGTGCAAGCTTGGACGCCAGGGAGCTGGAGAAGGGGAGCCATGTAACTGAGGGGCTGGGACCCTACCATGCCTGCCTCTTGCCTGCTTTCCTGTCCTGACAGCTAGATAATAGGCACAAGGCCTCCTCTCTCCATGAGAGACAGGTCCTGTATTAACACAGGGCACGCCACTCATAGTCGACAGCGGGGCGCCTCAGCGCGGCCTCCACTTCTCTGAACTCTTCTCCCCGAGATCCCCCGGGGGTCAGACTGCAGCCCCCGGGCTCTTGACGTCTCCTGTCTTAGGAATCTCGTCTGTTCCGACCTAGTCAACCACCCTCTCCCTTTGGACCAAGCCTTCATCTAAGCCTTCAGGCCTAACTTCCCTCCTGAACCCCAGAACTGTTGCTGGACACTGGCCCTCAGCAAGCCCACAGTCGCATCTCAGATGGAACAACTGGTTTTTCCTCCAAAGTCCACGCTCTCCGGTCCCTCCCGCGGTATCTGACTTGCCCTTCTCCACCTTCCCCTCATGCAGAAGAGCCTGGGGAAGGCTGGTTCTGAGTCTCCTGACCCTCGCCCTACCCCACCCGCACAGCCTGACCCTCCGCGGCTCACTAGCTACTATCCCTGCCCTCCCCTTCCTCACTCCTCTCGCACAGCGCTGTCCCGGCCAATTCTTGGGACATCCTGTTCCCCACATTGAGTCTCTGAGGCTCCTCCAATCCCCTAGCCTGGCATTAAGGTCTCCCCGATCTGGTGGGGGTCAGTCACCTCCCTAAACCTCCCCCTGGCAGCCCCCTGCACAGCTGCACCCTGTGTTCCCGCTCCACCAGTTTCCTCACTCCGAGCAACACTCGCCCCTTTTCTAGCTCTACTCTTCTGCTCATGCTGAGCGCCTCCCCCTCCCTGGGAATACCCTTCCCTTTGCAGCATCTATCCACATCTTCCCTAGCCTTCAGACTAGCCGGAATCCTTACCTCCTTCGCTGGGAGGTCTCTCCCAGTCAGCCGTCCCCTTCCTCAGCAACTGCATCATTTATTTTTGGCACCAACTCAATTGGGAACTAATCACGCACTGCCTTGTGACAGTTATTCCAATGACACTTGACATTCTTCTTAACATCGTTCATGGTTCTTCTGCTCCTGGGGGAGCACGCCCGCCTAGCTAAGACTGGTCCCGGCCAGAGGGTCCCCCACACTCCTAACAGCGACCCAGGAGGCCCTGACCCACCTGAGGAGGTTGCCCCTGGGCAAGCTCTGCTCTCGGGCCTGGGGGCTGCCCATGGTGAGGCTCAGCCTCTTGGCCACGTCCGGCCTTCCCTCGACGAGGCTGCCCTCCTGGGCCTGGCCGGGGGAGGTGCCGTACTGCTCCTCCAGGCACCGCAGGGGCACCATCCTGTTGATGGGCTGGAAGATGATGGCTCCGCTCTGCTGGGAGATGGGCCGCCGGTTGCCCACATAGCAGCGCACCAGGCCGGGGATGGAGTCGAAGCTCTCCATCTCAAACTGGTACTGCACTCGGCTGTAGGCCTCACTGAGCCGCAGGACCGTCCGGCGGATCTTGAAGTGCTGAGGGAGGTTCTTCCACTGGCAGGTCAGGACAAAGTTTCCGGGGCTGGACAGAGAATCACGAACCAGGAAGTCACCGTCTCGCTGCACGAGGTTTTCTGACACCTTTGGGACAAAACGGTGCGTGAGGAGTAGGCAAGGCAAGCTTAGCTGCGCTGCTCCCCACTTCTTTGGGCCAACAGAGGACAATGCTATTATGTCTCTTCTTCCTCAGTCGGCTCTTTGTCAAATGCCAAATTCTTAGAAGACCCACTAATTCATTTAAGAGCTATTTGCTGATCACCTACTATGTGCCAAGTACTACTGTAGGCACTGTGTTTACAGCAGTGAATGAAGCCGACGAGAGTCCCCGCTACCTCAGAGCTTCTGTTTTTAGTGGACAGCTTCTATTTTAGTGAGGACAAACAAGCAACAGGTACAGTATGTCAGATGTTGTAAAGTTAAGGAAGAAGTAAATCAGGATGAGGGCTGTCCTCTTAAATACTGTGGTTAGGAGGGTATCATGAGGAGATGATATTTATGCAGACCTGAAGGATATGAAGTGATGGAAAATAAATAAGAAAATTTGTGTCTGGTGGGTCTGATTCTCCGCCTTCCCCCAACAATCGGAGGAGGGTGTTTGTTGTCATCTACGAGTCACCCTCAGAGCCCTCTCCTAAGACAGCCCTCTCCAGGCCTGGTCGATGGGGGAGGAGGGTCCACATGCAGGTGGAGTCCAGGCACTGTGGAATCGACCCTTGAGTGTGGTCCTGGGCACACCGATTACTCTGGAGGGCCTGGAACAAAGAGGGCCAGGTCTCTCATCTCACAATGTTATTGGGAAGATTATATACCTGCATACATACTATATGCAAAGCACTAGCACAGTGCCTGGAACATAGCAGATGCTAAAAAAATCACTAGCTATAATGATGCTGACGTTTATAATAAAAGGAGAATTTATACTGTGCTGTAGTATGGTTGTTCCTGTAGCTAATCTGCCTGGGTTTGCATTCTGGCTCGTCTGGGTGACAAGTTACATGGACAAGTTACACTCAGGTTACATCAGCTGTAAAACGGGGATAATATCACCTACAGGATAGCTATAAAGGTTTAAAGGACTAAAGTGTTGGCTATAACTATCGTTATTATTGTCACAGTCTTTAGTTATACAATCGGGAGTGATGTATAGCTGAAAATTCACACTCATGGCAAATGGGAAACAAATTTTATGATCACGATAAGGAGAATGATGGTGGTGACAGACATCAGATTTATAAACTTTGATAAGTTTTCTAGGACATGCCAACATTTGATCAGCTAGCTTAGAATAGTATGCTACCATGGTTACCTTAAAATTGCATCTTAGCCTTAAAAATGTTTTCACACAGAAATTCCATTTCTTGGAATTGAGCCTGAGGAAATAATTATAGTCATGAACACAGTAGTTATCTTCAAGGATGTTGGGGAGAGTGCCCAAAACAGAATGCAGAAAGCATACAGTGGACACAGACAATGGAGACTGGTGTAGGAGAACATTTCAGAGCAGGAGAAAATTCCCAGGAAATATCATTAAGGGAAGAAAGTGGGCTGCAAAGTTATATGCAGCATGAGCTCATACTTGATTTGGAAAAGTCTGGCAGGATTTATATCGAAATGTTCATAGTGGTTATCTCCAGAAGGGAGAATTACAGGTAAGAGTTTAATTTTCTTCTTTTTACTCTATTTTCTACAATCGATTTTACACTAAAAGAAGAAAAAAAAAACAAAGTTAGAATCAGGATTATTTCTTTGATGGTGCTGAGAAAGCTGCTACATTAAAAAAAAACATTCACAACATGATACCCTTCCCTCACCCTCAGCCACCCCTCTCCTGTCACGCTGTCCTGCGTGACTGGTCAGATCAGGTTACAGTAAAAACCCAAGGGAAGCTCTATACCTCAATTCTGCACTTATTCTATTTTTCAATTTCTATACTATTAAATACAAAAACATCATTCACGGCTATGGCCCAAAGGACTAGCACACAAAGTACATTCTGGCCATGAGTCTGTGGTCGCTGGTATGATTCCTCTTCTTTCCCACCCCCCCACCCCCGGGCCAGGGGCCGGGGAGGGGCGGGATGGAGAGTGGATAAGTGCCAGCCCCACTAGGGCACAGGCGGCCTTGTCGCTCTGGGTCACCCACCCTGATGATACCCCCTCTTCACCTGAAATTAAACCACTGCCTTGGGAAGGAAGCAGGCTCCACAGGGTATGAGGCTGCAGGCAGTCGGCCAAGAGTTCAATTATCTGAACCACAGCCCAGCCTGATATTCCCTTAGGTATCACCCTGCGTTGCTGCCTCCTGCCTGCGCCTTGTTTACAGAACCACAGAACAGCTGCTCTCCCTTCATCCACTCACCGGCCATGGGGAAACGTACTTTGGATTCCTGACCTTAGCTCTTCTCAAGGTCTCCTTAGAGACGCACCTACGTTAAGTCACCACAGGCCACCCTGTAGTAGTGCGCTCTGGCTGAACCGGGGCTTGCGCCTGGTAGCCTTGGGCCTGTGACCCTGCGCGGGGGCGGGTACCTGTCGGGGGATGCGGCCGTGGTACCAGGCATGGCTGCGCAAGTCCTCGCTGCTCAGCAGCAGCTCCTCTTCCAGCTCCTTCTTCAGCCTCTCCTGGGTCCTGTCCATGACGTGCCTCTCCTTGGAGAACTGCAACACAGGGTCACCAGTGATCTCCCAGCCTGCTGGGGCCTTGAGCCCAGGCCAGCCGGCTGGAGACGCCGGCCTTGCGGTCGGCTGCTTTGCTAATCAAACCAGTATATGCCCAAAGCCCTGGTCAGGTAGAGGAGCCTGGATAATGATTACAATTAGCTGTGAACTTTCATTTCTCTGGCTGCAGAGAGGGTGTAGTAAAATTTTCACCTGCACTCGGGGACTATGATAGGAGAATAAGCCAAGCCGCTCCTTTTATCAGTCTACTCGGGTAGCAGCTGAAAACATGGGGAGCAGGGCAGGGGGCGCCAGGGAGAGATGTGCCAGGCCACCCAGAGAGCTTCCTCATTCTCCTTCAGAGCTGTCCTAACGCAGAGCTGGGAAGGACAGAGTCCCAGCCGGCCCATGGTCCCAGGCCTGCAGGACAGTGCTGCCCAAAGTGCAGTCCCAGGGCCGTCGTGATGGCTCTGAATTCTTTGCTACCGGCAAACTCCAGTTCAGGACCGAGTTTGCCTTTAGAAACGTTTACAGCAATTGGACAGAGTAATGTCTCTTGAATCTACTAACAGAAGTCTGAGTTTGTATTTTGTATGTGATTTTAATTTCATTTTTCTGCTATCTCATTTTTTACGACAGATTGGAAAAGGAAACTTAAATCAAAACAAAGAACTGGCTCTTCACCTCAAGTAGTTTGAGAATCACTGAATCTAGGTCACTGCACAGCGGCCGGGACAGGAGTTCTGGGTGGGTAACACTTGTTCCGGGTTCAATTTAGAACCCACGCCCACTTACAACATGTGAACTGAACTTGGACACCTGCCTGGTTCCCAGCAAAACTGGGCTCAGGGACTGTGGCTGAAGGTCATATGAGCAGGAAAAGGCTGTGTCCTTGTGTTTTCTCAACTTCCCCAGCTGGGCCTCAAAGGCCTGTAGGAATCACAAAACTATCCTCATCACACTGCCCTGTACCTTAGCAAGGAAAGAGCCCCCCAGACCTCCTCCACTCAAGAAGAAGAAAAAGACCTGGGATATTATAGCTGGATTCTTATCCTCAGCCCACGAGGGCACTGGCAGCAGAATGACTCCCGGGCTGTTTTCAAGGTGGGGCTCTGGCTTACTAATTATTTACTTCTCCCTCCACCTCTTCCCCACCACTCTTCTCACAGTGCAGGACCCCCACCCCCCACCCCGGAGTGTTTGACAGATGAGCTGAATTCCTATCAAAGAGATACTGATGTTGGCTGCCCACAGCGCCCGCAGGCATTATTAGCACTGATGTTTGACACTGTCGGCTTCGAGCATTAATTATGTACAGGAGTTGGGAAGACCTGAGTGCAGAATGTAGATTGTCAACCAGGCCGCATCTGCTATTTGTTTATTGTCTGTCTTGCCTCCTGCTAGGTAATAAGCTTCCCGAGACCAGAAGCCCATCTGCCTTCTCCCCTGCTGCCTTCGGGCAGTGCCTGAACACAATGGTTACTGCGTACTCACTGAATGAACAAATAACCCAATGTCTATGACTTTTCTTAGTTATGGAGGTTCTCCTGTTTCCTCTCAAATTATTTGAAGCCCTGGTTTAACCGGGCGGGTTGCCACACAGCTAAAGGATGACTGACATTCCTCAGTCTTTCTCTCTTATAGGGAGATGTGACCACGTGGCTAAGTTTTGGCCAAGGAAGGGTAAACTGCTATGTTGGTGGGACTTCCAAGCTGAGATATGATGGCCGGAGCTGCAAAACCATCCTGGATAATGAGGAAGAGGCCAAACCATAGGAATAGGCGAGCAGAAGGCCTGAACGAGCCCAGGTTCCTCACAACGGTGAGGCCAACACCCCGGCCCTGGACTGTCGGCCTCCAGGTCTTCCATGTGATCTTTTAGCTTTTTTAAGCCTGTTATTTTGGGTGTTCCTGTCACTGGCAGCTGAGCTAAATCCTAACCGATACTGTGACCCTGGCCTCTCTTTAGCCACCCTGACAGTCTGTACACCTAGCCTAAATTCCTTGTGCCGAGTCCTGGGTCCACTTCTTCTTGGTCTGAGCTCTGAAAATGCAGCAACCAGCAGGTCCTATCCTCTGTGTAACCCTCCACTGAAACTGTGTTCGCCCAGACCCTGAAAGCTATCCCCGTACTCTCCTTGCTCCCTGATAGCCAACACCCAGGCCACGTCCCATCCTCCACCCCCTCTCTCTTTCTCAGCATCTCATAAACATCAAAGGTCTTCTGTAGCATTTTATATGGGACAATCTTTTACTTCAGGTTTTGAGATAATATTGTTTTGCACTTGTTACCAAAAAAAAAAAAAAAAAAAAAATCAGTTCTCGTTACTTCTGTCCTAACTCCTTAGAGGAAAGTCCACAATTACTGTTCTCTCCCCCTGCAGACGCGGGAGCTGGGGCACTCTAGGGAAGTACCTAGAGAAGAGAGAAAAGATCCATAAGACTGACCCTCTCACATAATCTGGGACAGAAGACCAGACTTTAGAAAATATGCCCTTAAGCTCTTGCATAATTTGTGAAAAGTTAGGGGGTTACACAGTTGTCCAGACTTGTATTTTAAACGGGGAAGAGGAGAAGGGAAAGGGAGGGAGATGAAGAGGGAGGGGGTGGAGGGGGAGGGGGTGGGAGGAAGGGAGGGAGCCAGAGCCAGAGAGAGCAAGAATTGCAAAGGGCTCTTCATTTCAAGCTAGTGAGGGCTGGTTCTACTGCATTAAAAGGAGCCAAGGGGGCCGCTGGGAGCTTCTGTGTCTACAGATCATGTGGGCAATGTCTCCCAAACAACTGAAGAGGCAATTCAGAAGTCACCCACATATGGTCACTCTCATGATCAGAGTGGGTATTTGGGAGAGGATGCCTTCTAGAACTTTCACTTATTGTTTTAATCACATATATTAACGCAACTTCTATTTTTCCCAGGTGCCTATTTTATGACAGCTCGACCTTGCTGACTCTGATTTTGCCGCTGTAGGTAGGTACTTTGATGCGCTGTCAACCCCGTGGTTGGTGAGGGGTGACCATATAAGAAAGCAGTTTACACTGGATGGAAGTGCAGTACTCACTGACCTTTGGACCTTATGTTCTTCAACTGCCAGAGAAAGCAAGAAAATAATTACAAATAATCGATCTCTCAAACAAATGCTATAAATGTTACTAATGACCACCTTATAGTAACACAAAGTTTTCTTCAAGCTCAAATTCTCTTAACTATTTGCTCCTAAATTTGAACTTCATTCCTGGAAGATAAGTCTGATTCTTTGTTTCTCCAGCCTCTTATCTTGAGGGGAGGAGGTGGCAGTGAGGGGAGGCCAGAGATGGAATAGGGTTTCACTGCACCAGCACGGGCCCTGGCCATCCTGAGCTCCACCACACACAGCAGCTGGGGCACAACCTCCGGAGGAAGGGAAGCTGCTAGGCTTTGGATCAAGAACATTCTGCCACAAGTCTTGCCAGGTTCATTCCAGGGACCAAATCCACCCACAGCCACCATAAGAGAAGGATGCAGGCTGGACACGTATCTTCTACTCCAAGTCTTGCCTGAGTCTGATCCATCAGAGATTTGAAAGCAGTCCTTTTTTTTGGGGGGGGGTGTAAAAAAATGTGCTATGTATGTAAATTAAGTAATAAGTATACCTTGAGCAGGAAAGAAAGGAAAGAAGAAAGGGAGGGAGGGATGGAGGCAGGGCTTAGTAACTACTGTGTCACGGTTACCCACTCACATGGCTCCACTTCTAAAACTTCTTCCAGTCCCAGTCATTGGCTCTGGGGTCTGAGACGAGAGGTAGGTAAACGGATAACAACAGCAAATGAGGGGATGGATGAGGCCCACAACTGTCCAACCGAATTGAAGTTTAGCCAGAAAATTCATAAATTACTATCACTGTTGCTTTTCATGGAAATCTGAGTCTAGCTACTACTTTCCTACTGCCAGCATTTTCATAACCCTGACGTCAACGGATGTTATAGCACAGTGTTTAAGAGCTCAGGCCAGCCTGCCCCCTCCATCCATAGGCCACTGTGCCACTCACCAGCTGTGTGGCTCTGGGCAAGTGACTTTACCTCTCTGTAGAGCTCCTGGTCTGCAAAATGGGGATAATAACATATGAGGACAGGTTACTAGGGATGAAATGGATCAATATCCATAAAGCGCTTATGACATACCATGGTACACAGACAGCGCGAACTGTTAACTGTTTTTATAGGCCTATATCAGAATGCCATTCACCTGGTTAAATAAAATGAACAGTTTGCATTTGAGGTGTTTAAGGTCTGATGCACAGGCATGGTGGGTGGGTCAGTATTTGGGATGAAAGCAGCCTGGTACTTGTTTAAGTGCCCACTGGCTACCTCAATCCTCTTCAGAAGCCCGCTGTCCACCTGCCCCAGGCCCTCTGGTCCGGTTTCACGGCCAGGACCAGTCCTAGCTTGCTGAGGCCGCCTCCGAAAATCGTTCTAATCTGGAATGAACATCTCTGGAGCCCCACACCGCAGGCAAGTCTGGTCTTGACAGGCTGGAATAGCTGGAGCCCAGGAGATGGTTGGAAAACACATTCTGGAGGCACAGAGCCAGCTCCACCGACGTGCTGGGAACCTTGATTAACAAGGAAACCCACATTTCAACAGTTCTCTGAGGAAGAAAAAGCTGTTCCAGCCCAGGGAGGAATGGAGCTCAGGGTCTCCTCTTGCAACGGCTGTGTGATGTGCGATCCTGCATTTCAAATCAGGCACAACAATGGGACCCAGACTCTCCGGAGGTTTGTGTTCCTAAGTCCGGGGGATGAGGGACGCGTGCTCACCACCATCGGTGGGAAAGCCCCAGAGCCGCTGTGGGAGACCATTGAGAGGATTAGGAAAAGATGGCATCTGCATTGTAACTAATATTTTATTCTCTCCCTGTGTGGAAGGAAAGCTTCCCAGTTCCCACAGAATTTTAAATTGTGCAAATCACCAAGAAAGACCACATCCCCAGGCTGGGAGCTGTGGATGGAAAGGAAAAGACTGCG